AATTCGCAACATTAACTAAAATAGATAATTAGATAATTTTAGCTTAGCTTATACCATCTGTTACACATTAAATGTGCATGCTGAAATGTATTATGTGCATGCACATACGCGCATGCGTAAATGCCTATGTGCATGCATGAACAAGTTTGTAGCTTTGAGGTCCGGATTAACGACTTTTGATTGTAGTATCTAAAAGACTTTCTTTGTAAGTTCTTCATTTACATTGTTTGTTATAATTTTATTGGGTCTTTTAACACCCTATATCCTTAAGCTTTTCATTTTCTTGTATTGCTTGTTCAGTAAGTGCCATATCATCATTGCTAGCTACTTCTATTAGTATGCCACTTTTTTTTTTTTTTTTTTTTTTTTTTTTTTAATTTTCCAAACTAACTTAGCAGTGACTTTTATTTTTGTTGGATCAATATTTTGAACTAAGTGATTCTTTACTTTTGAACTAAGTGATTCTTTACTAATTCTGAAGTTTCGTTTTGATTCTTTGACTATATTAGAACTAAATGTTCTTCTTCACCTTTTCTATTGCACAAGAAGGATCTAGATTTAGATCTAGCTCGTTTGTGTGCTGGTTTTGCTGCCTTTTTGGCATAAGTCTGTTACTTCTCATCTGAATAGTATTTACAGGTTTTTCTTCTACACTTTTAAAAAGTTTGGCCTTGCCTTCTAGGTTAGTCATTTATAGACATTGTTCAATCATTAAATTGATAAGATGAGTAAACGTATAACATATTTTAAAACCACATTCATAGGAAATATTTTCTTTTGCTAAATAAGCATTTAAATTATCCGTACATTTTTTTTTTTTTTTTTCTTCTGAAAGAAGTCCTTAGAGGTATTAATCTTTTCTTCTTAGGTATTTTGTCTTTCCATGCTAATATTCAGTAGAAAGATTGTGTTTAATTAATTTCTGATAATAAAAGAGGGAAAAAACTCTGTTGATATTTATTTGTTTGACCATTGCATAGAAAGAGCAGTACAGTAATAACATGAGAAAAAGCACATGATCTTGTGATTGTGTCTTGAAAACAACATTGAAAGGAAGTTCAAACACACAAAATCCACAAATCGCGTGGCAGGCAGAAAGACTAGCAAATGATGGACTGTTATGTTAATTATCTGGTTGTAACAAAAGTTTTCTGCCAAAAAACTTTCTTAATAAAGTTAGGAAATAAAACATAACTAAGTCAAAATGAATGCTTTTTTATGTGTCAAAAAAACTTTCCCCCCCCCCCAATGGTAGGCCCAAACTGTCCACAGACGTTGGACACTACTAAGGCCAGAAGCGGTGGTCATGTTTATATGGAGGCACTTAATGGGTAAGACACCTCTGCCCCTCCTATGAGGGGATAGACAAATACACCCATTGCTTCTCCGGAATTCGAACCCAGGCCCTTTTATATCGCATTCGGCTTCCCTAATCACTATACTGTCCGGGTGGCGCGTAAAAGAAAAAACTAAAGCAACATCTTTAGTGTGGGTAGTAATCGCCACCCAAGTCTATGATGATTTTCTACTAATGGTTTGGTAGTTTTTCAAAGTCTTCGACTCAGAAACTTGGTGGCTGTGAGTCAAAAAACAGACCATCCTCATTTCAGATGTCCTGTGCAGAATGGAAAATAGCATCAGTGAGATGTAGCTGCAGGTGTTAAATAAAAGGTAGAAATCTGAAGGAGCGATGTTTTGCAGCTATAAGGTGGGTGTGGCAAAAGATCCCATTTGAGTCTGTACAGGGTCCAGCCGGTGAATGCAGATACATGGGTCTTGCATTATCTTGATGGAACATTACCTATAATGGTATATCCATCACAAAGTTTTCGAAATAAGCTGAAAAACCAGGCCAATTTGCTTTCTTAAAATTGATCATACATCTTGGGTGGGAAAAACTGGTCATCACCTCTGAAGCGAACGTCACTAAAGTCATTCTATGTCTTCTACCTGCATCACCCAGCATACATTTCTCACAGTTATCAGGAATATTTGGTTATCAGGCAATCATAGCCATAGTTATCAGGTAATTATAGCCATAGTTATCAGGTAATCATAGCCAGGTTTGGGTTTGGTCGAACTACCACTATACATAGTTAACTGTTAAGTCTTCGGATTGTTAGGTTGTCTTAGGACCCTTTTCATTATATAAGATGAACAGTCCATTTGAATCTGTATAATCCTCCACTATTTCTCCGACATGATTATAATATGATAATTCCCCAGTTTGGGGAAGTGGCATTAAAATCCCGCATAATGATAGAATTTCTAAAAAGCGCCAGTGTGGCCAAATTTAAATTTTTGTTATTTGGAGGACTGTAGATTCCATATATCTTAAACCGTGCTTTATCTTTCCAAAGGGAAATAGCCATTATCTCTACAAAATCACTGTCATTCATCTTCTTTACAATTTTACAATACAATACTTCACAATACTTCTTTACAATGTCAAATTCTGCTTAATTGCAACAAGTATACCACTGGCTACTGTCTTTTTTTATAAAGTCCATACATGCTATATTTTGTAATACAGTCAAAAGTCATTAATTCGGACACCCATAATCCGGAATGATCTATAATCTGGACCTCAAAGCTACAAACTTTCTACGCATGCGTCGCCTTCTAACATGCGCATAAGACTTTTACGGCTGCAAATATGAGTGTGCGCATCCGCATAATATGTTTACACATGTGCGTTTAATGTATAACGGACGGTATAAGCTAAGCTAAAATGATCTAATTCAGTTAATGTTGCAGATAGCGTTGTTCCTTAATCTTCAAATAGCATCCGGCTTATTATTTTTTGCAAACTGTTAGAGCAATTTTATAAAAGTAAGCGTGAACTTTCGATTATATCAAATAGAATTTCCGATATATATTTACTAATACAGTCAAAAGTCTTTAATCCGGACTCGTCGGGACTTCGGTGATTCCGGATTATAGATCATCAGTTTAAATCTGGTAAGATGGCATGCAGAAATTATAAAATTAAAAATATGAAACCGTTATTTATAAAATAATGAGCAATTATGATCTAAAGGGTATCAAAATTTACAAAAAAAAAAGCTTAATATTTATTTGTTTACTTTATTAAACATTTCTTTCAACACGCGCATGCGTAAAGCATACATTATGCATAGCCGAAATTAGAAAATTGCAACCAAAAACTATTTGATTTGTATTCGTGATATTTATAATGACAAGGAATTTGATTTAAATCATATCAAAGACGAAGTAAATTGAGATGAAATACTACATTTAATAAGGAATTATAAGCCGAATAAAATAGAAACATCTGCCCTGAAGATAACGATAGTGTTGACAGATCAACTTCCAGTTCATTGCGCGCCACCACGTTCCCCCCCCCCCCAGAGCAGCGTGAAATTGATAAACAGATTTTGGAATGGTTAGATAAACAAAGGATATGCCTTTATCCATTTTTTGGAGCAATTCCACTTTCTGTTTGTTGGACATCGAAACATACTTTCGTTTTCGTAGATCCTTTGGGAGCTCCAACATCGGAAATTCTATTTGACATAATTGAAAGTTCAAGCTTACTTTTATAAAATTGCTCTTACAGTCTGCAAAAAATAATAAGCCGGATCCAATTCAAAGATTAAGGAACAACGCAATCATCAACATTAACTGAAATAGACAATTAGATAATTTTAGCTTATACTGTCCGTTATACATTAAACGTGCAGCGAAAACGTATTCTGCGCTTGTGCGCATGCTTAAACGCCTATGCGCATGCGTCAAAGCGGCGCATGCGCAGAACGTTTTTAGCTTTGAGGTCCGGATTATAGATTATTCCGGATTATGGGTGTCCGAATTAACGACTTTTGACTGTATGTAAAGGATCTACAAAGCGAAAGTATGTTTCGAAGTCCATTAAACATAAAGTGGAATTGCTGCAAAAAATGGATAAAGGCATATCTTTCGTTTCTCTAACCATTCCGAAGTATGTTTATCAATTTCACGTTGATCTGCGGGGGAAGGGGGAAACGCCGCGGCGCACAATGAATTGGAAGTTGATCTGTCAGCACTATCCTTATCTTCAGGGTAGATGTTTTTGACTTATTTGGCTTATAATTCCTTACTAAATGTAGTATTTCATCTCGATGTACTCTGTCTTTGATATGATTTAAATCAAATTCCTTGTCATTCTAATTCGCTTCCAATAGTACAGAAAGTGACACAGAGGTTATTGAAAACGAAAATTCCGATTGACAAATTAGTCGGTATTCTCGACACAACAATTATAGAACTTGAACAGCGGAACTTTGTAACTGAAGAAGAAATTATGTCTGTGTATAGAATTAAAGAGAAAGTATTATCACATAAAATGAAGCAACTTAAACAACTTACATTGAAAGAAATGTTTAATAAAGTAAGCAAATAAATATTAAGCTTTTTTTTTTTTTTTTTTTTTTTTTTTTTTTTTTTTTTGTAAATTTTGATACCCTTTAGATCATAATTGTTCTTTATGTCATAAATTACGATTTCATATTTTTAATTTTATAATTTCTGCATGCCATTTTACCAGATTTAAATTTATACCAGATTTATAATCCGGAAAAAATCGATAATCCGGAATCGACGAAGTCCCGACGAGTCCGGATTAACGACTTTTGACTGTATCATAATATTTTATATTTTGTTCCATGATGTTAGTCTCTTGGACAACCAGGTCATCTACATTCATCTCAACAATGCTTTTCTTTAATTCGGAGAGCCTTGTTGTCAAAAGGCCACCTGTATTTCACTGAAGGACCCTGAAGGTAAATAATTCACATTGTTGAAGCAACTTCTGAAAGTGAGCAGCCATAGCCTCTAACTTTTACTAATTTAGCACCACCCAGGGGGCACATGTGACTTTAGCAGTGCCATGGATGTGAGTAAAGTTAACCCTGATTTTGAAATAGTTAATAGATATATTTTGTTCTGCATATTTTACTGTTTCATTGCCAGGGAATTAAAATTGTGTTTTTCATTCTTAGCTGAGCTGAAAACAGAATTAGAAAATTATATTGAAAAGCATCTGCCAAAAGTAAGAGTGATACGAGCTGGGAAACGAGAAGGCTTAATTCGAGCTAGGCTAATTGGAGCAAAAGCAGCAGTTGGTGATGTTTTGATTTTCCTTGATTCTCATACTGAAGCAAATGTCAACTGGCTACCTCCTCTGTTGGGTACTAAATCCTATATGCATCATAATGTTTCTGGAGTTATCACTCCTATGTAAAAGTGAGGATTTATTAAAATGTAAATTATCAAAGTGTTTAGAAAGTTCAGACATTTCAGTGGACATTCTTTGTTATTTTTATATTGTCAATAAGTAACAAATCAGTAGTTAATAATTTATTATTCTTAAAATTTTATCTCATGTTTGAGGCTTAAATTATGTTTTTATCATGCTAATAAAGCATATTTTAATTAAAGTTGTTAATTAACTGAATCCTTTTTCATACTGTTTTTAATTTAAAGTGTAGTTTTGCTGCTTAACTCTGATTATCTGTATAGAAAAAATTGTTTTCAAAATAAGTTACAGGCTTTTTAGGTAGTACTTTTTTATTTCTGTACTGTGGAAGTAGTTTGTATCATACATAATTTTAATATTAGACTTTAAAAAAAATATGCATTAATTATTCAGATAAGATTAAAAGAGGAAAATATTTATTTCTGATACTGGAAGCCTAATCTATGTAAAATTCACATAATTGTTAGAATAGTAGCTAAAATAGATGTAATAAATTATTTTCAGAACTATAATTGTTTTATCAAAGGAACCATAACAAAAACTTTTTGCATATGAATCTTAAACAAATTCTCTTTCTAAAATGATAATAATAATAATAATAATAATAATAATGATTTTTATATTTGTAACAATAATTTCCTTTTACATGGATCGTGTTAAAAAAATTATATAACAACACATGTAGTGTGATGAATTGAAGAGGATAGGAAATAGCTATATTGTGCCTGTCTTCTGCATACACAGGGGTACCTTGCCTGATAGATACTACATTGAATAGCAATGCCACATACTGGATACTCACACAGGTTAAAAAATATGCTGCATTACAAATCCTCCACAAATTATATCACACACTAAATCTGGAGTTAAATTTGTTTTGTTATTTGTTTTATTGCACATAAATGTTAAAAATTATCTGTGTGTAAACATAGATAACGAGCAGAGTAGAGGGCAAATAAATATATTCCTTACTATTATATTGTTGCATTTTTCTTCTTCTGACACCAGTTGTTGCGTTATTTTCTTCCTTCACATTCGTATGGGGTTCGTAGATTTGGAATGAATAATGACGACACTTGATGAAGTATCGAAACACACTTTATTGGCCAGTATTGTCAGGACAGCTCCAAAACACGTTTTTACAGTCGGCGATGAACTATTATAAACATGCTGACACGTTCAGCGACACAGTCTCCAGGTTATCAGGCTATCACGGTGAAGATGGCTTCATGGCGAAGCACTAGAGTACAGCTCGCAACTCTGCTTGGTCGCTCTCGGAACTCCACGCACTCTCGAGACTCTCCATGCTACAACTCGCGATGCACTCGACGACACTCAGAGCACAGCTCCCGACTCTTCGGTTCAGTCATTCCCGGAGCTCAACACGCTCTCTCGCTGATGCACTAATAGCGCTACACTAACAGACTCCTTCGGTGCACTCGACGACCCACTCGGCACTCACTGCCAGGCTGTCGACTCGATCAACTCTGCAGGGATTGACTCGCTAGACGAGACACCAACTTGATACCGTCTAACTCACACTCTAGACGAGGCACACACTCTCGATACTAACTGACTGACTGCGGACCAGCAGGGATTATATAGCTTTCGGCTTGTGTTCAAGAACATTCTGGGGTAAACCGATAAGAATTCGTTCCAGAGGGTTCTCCATCAGTCCATCATATCGCCAATTTTGTTGCCAAATGGGCGATTTCTTGCCAAATGTGGCAACTTTGCATTCCCTTGGCATTTTATGGCAACCCTAAAACTGCTTTGTGGGAAAGCCATCTCACTGTGCCGGTACATTTCGTAACAATATTATTGCTGAAGAACTGCATTCTGTTCTTGACTAAGAACACGAAGAACAATAGGGAAATTTTCTTCTGATGAGAAGGAAGAGAATGATAAAGTTCTATGCCAACTGTAGTATCAAGGACCTTTTAAAAAAGTGGAATTAGGACTCGCATTTTTTAAATGAAAAACTGTCCAATTAAAAGTATAAAAGAAGTTCAGATAACAACAGGTAGAATCATCTTATGAAAGAGAAACCACTTTAAACATGATCTTGAAATCAGGACCTTCTTAAAAAATAATGATGGAAGGAGGAGAGTCTAGTCAACCTCCAGTAGGCTATAAAAGTCCAGTAGGCTAAATTGACTCTTAGAGTGTATACACATATTGTGTTTTTTATAACTAATAAATTAGTATTCCCTTTTAAAAGTTGCCACCAGCTAAGCTTTTGGCAATATTTGAAACTTCTAATTGAAGCTTTTGGTGAGGTTGCCAATTTAGGCAACTAAGTGTGGTGGCCAAATTTTGTATCAATAAATTAGTAAATTCATATAATTTCCAACATTTAATGGTGTTTTTTATATTCTGTGAAATTTTTTATAATGTTTTATGATTCTAGACCAGGCTTGGCTGTGGATTAAAATTGTTCTCATTATAAACTCTGGGAAACAGTGTTGTATATAAAAAATGATTCGCATTACAAACACCATGATGGACTGGATTACATTTGCTATGTGAGGCACTAATGAATTAGGACTTTAGATATAAAAGTTTTAATTTGCATTTCTTTTTGCCATATCATTTTTCAGATTTAATGCTAAAATTCTTAAATTTCGTCTACATTATATGTTTATTGAAATACTTAATATTTCATTCTCAGTCCTGGAATGGAAAATGATAGGAAAAAATTTATTTTTTGACAAATTATGAACTAGCCAAACATGTAAACTAGTTTAAAATTAATATGCATGTTAAAATTAAATTTATACATGCACATTGCAGATTGAAGTGCATTTTTTCATTTTGTGTGTATATTCATATATTTACAAAACAGAAAATTTAAACTGCGATTCTGATTTTAATATGATGGGGTTTCAAAATTATTTAGTTTTTATGGTAATTGCAAAATAAGTAAATAAATTCAGCTCCATAACTTAATAAAACAGTATATAGGAAAACTAATGTGCAAATAAGTAACAAAAATGTATAATTGAACATAAATTATAATTTCTTTAAAAGAAAGAGAATTCTTTCTGTATCCCAGTGCTGGCTCTAGCCTTTTCACCACGCAGTGCAAACATTTTGATTCCTGGAATCTGCCACCCAGTAAATCCCTGAATTTTACAAATTCTGATGCACAATGCAGCTGCACATGCTCTGATGCCAGCCCTGCTCTGTCCAGAAATGTACCTTGAACATTAGTCACTATAGTTAGTTGCCTTATGTACCCTCACTTTTATAAAAGTAATCAAATGCTGTCATTCATACTGAGCATACATATTAAATATTTTCTCTGCTCTTAATGTTTTTTATTCATCACCATCTCCATATTTGATCTCATTATTTTGAAAAGAAACTTTCATTATTATGAAAGAAACAGATTTGTTCTACAATGAGTAACTTATTTAATTACACAACATTATTTGTATTTTATAAAATTTTGTATTTTGTAAATCTCACCTTTTTTTTTTTTTTTTTTTTTTTTTTAAACAGAACCTATTGCTAAAGACAGGAGAACTGTTGTATGTCCTTTCATTGATGTCATAGATTTTGAAACATTTGCATACAGAGCACAGGATGAAGGTGCCAGAGGATCTTTTGATTGGGAGTTGTACTATAAGAGACTGCCATTGTTACTTGAGGATCTCAAGCATCCTTCTGAACCATTCAAGTAACTTGAAAAATCCTGCTGTCTGTGATTTCTGAAAAATGAATATTAAATATTATTTTGAATGTAATGAGAAATATTTATAAAAATGCCTATTCACATGCTAGAAGGGAAAGTAGATTTGTTTTGCACATTAGCACTAGAACTGTTAAAATAATAGGTTATATCCCTTTAGTGATAAATTAGTGATAGTTTCCAGCTGTTTTTGGCATTAAGATTTCTGAGTTGCAAAATATATATCTTTATGTGCTTTGTATTAATTTATTTTCATCTGTTTTCCAATTGCTATAAAAATAGAATTAAATCTAATCTAATGCACAAAAAATTTCTGTTCAAGCTAGCTGAGTGATATTAGACATTATTAATTTATATTGTAGATGTTTTTGTTAATATTTTTCTTTTTACCATTACTTGAAAATTAGGAATAAAAGTCTATCACATCATTACAATGGTAGTTATTTTTAATTACCTTACTGTGAATTTGAATCTCAGAAAAAAAAAATATAAGCTAATTTTAACTTTTTACTTCCTTGTATGTAGCAAAGGAAGTATTATAATTGCAAAAAATTTTGTTTTTAAGATTTCAACAGAAATATCCATTCTGCATGATGTCTGTACTTATAGAAAGAAAAAAGAACTGTTTATTCTAAAACAGATTGTAAAGTGGATTCAAAATGCAATTTTTCAAAACGTTTGTATGTATCTTGCATAACTCGAAAATGATTAGACATAGAATGGTGAAATTTAGTGTATGGGACTGCTAATAATATCTAGTTTTTGTACCTCCCTTTCTTATCGCAATCCACAGTATCAGAAGTATATATGTGTATATATACATATATACAGTCAAAAGTCTTTAATCCAGATGTCCATAATCCGGAATGATCTATAATCCGGACCTCAAAGCTACAAACTTTCTGCGCACGCGTAAACACGTAATACCTTTACGCATGCACTTTTAATGTATAATGGACGGTATAAGCTAAGCTAAATGTATCTTAATTATTTATTCTAGTTAATGTTGCAGATTGCGTTGTTCCTTAACCCCTTCGAGCCGGGTAGCGAAAATGCGCGCTTATCGCGGAGGCAGGCAGTGTCTTTCGTGAGCGTCTCTCCAGGGCCGGGGGCTTTTTTGCTACTAAGCCTAAATCCATGAAATTTCGGAAGTATCAACGCATTGTTTAATAATGCTCCATAGAGTATTTAAACGGCTTATGCTTTATAGATGTTTATATATATATATACTTTAATTACCTTATTTCTTGTTTAAATGCATATTTTACACATTTTATTTTAATTACTTACCATTTTATGACTTTTAACATTATACATCTGAAAACTAAATATATTACTTAAAATTCTCTTTTCGTATGAAAAATTTTAAAACAGGGATCTACACACAGTCCTACGTTACATTCCTTGAACTCGTAATAACTCATTTGCCGTTTTGGAGGATTTTTCTGGGAATGTGAACAAATGAAGCATTGTCGTCTCATTTTCTTATCAGTCTCTTCTGAACAAAGTTTTGGAAAATGTCTTTCAGTTAATCTTTCAGAATCAATATCAGAATATCAGAATCAATATCTGAAATATTTTGCATCATTTCTGCTATTTCATGCTCTGTTAAACATTTTCGATGCTTCGACATTGAAACGGTAAAAACAAAAAGAATTCACGTCTAACAAGATCTCATTATTTTCTAAAAACTGAACTGTAAACCGAAATACTCAACGCTTTAGCGCATATAAAACTTCTACTTACAATAAACAACTACCATGTGGCGAATAAAGTGCGATTTAAAGAGACGTCATAAATCCCATTCGGAAAAATTTAGTTCCTCGTTTGTTTATACAATCAAAAACACATGTATGTGAGTCATGCTTCTCTCATTTCGAGTAGAAGGTCTAATGTACATGTATCTGAAACCATATGGACATACAGTGCCATCTTGTGGCAGAAATTATAGTTTGAAAAACGTTCCAAGGTACTGGCACAAATACGTGACAGTCGGTAGTAAATGCAACAATGCTCTGGCACGCCTACATGTCGGCCGGTAGATAAGTGTGTTCGTTGCTGACACCTATACGTGGCAGTTGGCGCGAAGGGGTTAATCTTCTAATTGGATCCGGCTTATTATTTTTTTCAGACTGTTAGAGCAATTTTAAAAAAGTAAGCTTGAACTTTTGATTATGTCAAATAGAATTTCCGATGCTGGAGCTGCCAAAGGATCTACAAAGCGAAAGTATGTTTCGATGTCCATCAAACAAAAAGTGGAATTGCTGCAAAAAATGGATAAGGGCATATCCTTTGTTTCTCTAACCATTCCAAAATATGTTTATCAATTTCACGCTGCTCTGCGGGGGGGGGGGAGGACGTCGCGGCGCATAGTGAACTGGAAGTTGATCTGTCAGCACTATCTTTATCTTCAGGGCAGATGTTTTTATTTTATTCGGCTTATAATTCCTTACTAAATGTAGTATTTCATCTCGATGTACTCCATCTTTGATATGATTTAAATCAAATTCTTCATCATTATAAATATCACGAATACACATCAAATAATTTTCTGCTTGCAATTTTTTAATTTTGACTATGCGTAATGTATGCTTTACGCATGGGTGCGTTGAAAGAAATGTTTAATAAAGTAAACAAATAAATATTAAGCTTTTTTTTTTTTTTAATTTTGATACCCTTTAGATCATAATTGCTCTTTATTTCATAAATTACAGTTTCATATTTTTAATTTTTATAATTTCAACATGCCATCTTACCAGATTTAAATTGATGATCTATAATCCGGAAAAACCGATAATCCGGAATCGCCAAAGTCTCGACAAGTCCAGATTAAAGACTTTTGACTGTGTACCCATTTTCTGGCTTTTATCTTTTGCAGTCATTGCTGGTAGACTTGTACTTCCAATTACAGAAGTGTTTTGATGAAAATATTCATGTTTTGGCAATGTCAAATATAAAAACAAAATAATAATAATAGTAATTTTGAACAAATAATGAAATCTAACTTTTAATGCAGTCTCTTGATTCTTATATTTATATTTAGGAAAGTTTTATATGCATTATGAAAAAATAAAAATGCAAGATGATAGAAATTGACCAGAATATTTAATTTCAAAATTCACATTTTTTATTTTATTTTCAGCATGACTTGAGGGATTAATTGATTAAGTTAGAATAATTCAAGGAAATAAGTTAAAATGAAATGCAGAAAAAAAATGTGTATAATATAACACTAGATTGACAGGAAACGTCATTTGCACCATATTTCCATTTTAATTGGACATAACTTTTTTAATTCTTTATTTATAACTTTGATATTTTTTCACTTTTTATAAAAACTTATGAATATTACATGATAATTAATTCATTTTAAGTAATTATTTTCATTTTAAGTAATTATTTTCAATTTTAAGTAATTCATTTTAAGTAATTGTTCATTTTAAGTAATTATTTAATTGTTCATTTTAAGTAATTATTTTCGACAATATTATTGTTTATTCATAGAATTACAGCTCTCAGTCATTTTGACTGTATCCAGAAAATTATAGATTTCTCAATATATTTATGACTTTTTAGTTATTTCTGGTTAGCTGATAGATAAACTAGTGTATTTTTGGTAAGGAAGATTGCATATTTCACAGAAGTGAGTGGGAAATAAAAACACTTGTTTCAAATTTTTGTGCACCACATGTCTGTGCATTTCGCTTGATTTAGAAATTTTATTTTTCAATGGATACAAATGTACCTTACTTCATTTGAATAGTTTTGTTATCAAGAACTGGATTGTTCCTACTAGTGCAAGTGAATCCAATTCATCTGATGGAGAACATGTATACACGACACAGAAAAAGGAAAGTAAAATCCTAAAGACTGCAAACTGATCCATTTGCCCTTCTTTCGGATATCTGGAATGCTTTTATAGAAAACTGCTTGAAATGTTATTAACCGGGCGAAAATTTAAGAGTGGATGAACAATTATTTTCCCTGAAGACTCGATGCCGATTTGTTCAGTACATGTCTAAAACGGCGGACAAATTTGGCATTAAAGTTTTGCTACTGATGTGCCATCAAAATATTTATTGAATGCATTTCCCTATTTGGGAAACGATGAAACAAGACCAGTTGGAGAAACAGTAGGTAAACATGCAGCTTTTCGCTTGATGGAACTGCTGAAATTAGTAAAAAAAAAAAAAAAAAAAAAAAGAGGAATTCAGGGATAAGCTGCATTGGCACAGTAAGTTGTTAAAAAAGAGAAGTACCTTATTCTTCCAAAAATATGACGGATGAGCTCTGTTCTAGTAGGATTACTAAGCATGAGAATATAAAACTTATGTCTTACCAAGGGGGAAAAAAAAGAAACAAGAATGTCCTGCGCCTGAGGACCATGCACCCAACACTGGAAATTGCATCTGATGAAGAAAATACACCAGAATTTGTGAATTTTCACAATTCAACCAAATTTAAAGTTGATGGTTAAGACCCAATGGCCAGAAAATACTCAGTAAAGTCCTTATCCAGCCATAGGCCAATTCAAATTTTTATTTTTTTTATAGTCTTGATTTGGCCATGATAAAGGCATGGATAATTTATAAGGAATATATTGTATATAAGAGTATCAGCCATTGTGATTTTATTTTGAATATGGCTGAGGAGCTTTGAAAGATGTACATTTCATTCTAAAATTCAGAAACTTTCTTTTTTTAGCAAAAAAAGAATTGCGTCAACCCTTCCCGTAAGCATAAACAATGCCAAATAAATGCATGTAGAGGTAACAAAACTTCGAATAGGTGTGAATACTGTAAAAAATGTGTTTGTGGAACTTGTACAGGTAAAATTAAAAAAATTAGTAATCTGTATGCACTGCAAAACCGAGTAATGCATGTACTAATATGTGTGATTTTTTATATATTTATTTCATATTGAAAATTTGTATGAGGCAATTTATTAAATAAGACATTTAAAATAGCTAGATTCTTTTTCTCTTTTAGCCCTTTGTTATATTAAATTATCCTTCTTTTAATATATTTACTCACTTTGCTTTATTCTGCCCTTTGTTACATTAAATTACTTTTGTTGCATGTATTTACTCGGTTTACTTTATTTACTTATTAAACAAGCAAAATGTATTGCTATAAGCATTAACTTTATATAATATTAGCGAAAAGCAAACCTTTTCTTTTATTCGAAACAAGCAGTCATGACCGCTGATCATAGTTATAGATACGCGGAAAACATAGTAATGCTAGTGTTAATAGGCTGTACAAGGACGTCATGTGGTGTACACATCAAATTTTTTGTTTTTATATTCTTAAGCTCATATTCCCACTGAAAAGTGTGTGCAATTGAATCTCTGTTTATGCAAACTGCTGTCAGCTAAACCTTTTACGATAAATCTATAATCAGGTTCATGTTCATAAAAATCAAAATGCCTTATTTTTGTACATACTGTTTTCAAGATTTCTGTGTTGAACATATTGAAACTAAACATTGAAATTTTGCTTCTAGGCTTTTAATTTCCATCTAAATCATTAAAGAAAATAATAAGCAATTGTTAAATTAGAAAATAGTTAATGAACTTTTATTATTATTTTTTTAATTACTGATACAATATCCTTTAGATGGAACTAGAGAAATACATGATGAAAATTAATAGCACCTGAGTTTAAATGCATAAATAGTTACAGTAAAATGCAGTGTATAAAAATATTCAATTAAAAAACTTAACAATATTTTATAAATAACTAAGTTTCCAGTTTTAGAATCCTGGTCTGGAATTGCTAGTTCCCTGACTTATTTATTTGTAAAACAGTAAAAAATCTGCTGAAGACTTTTTTTAACAGATTTTTTTAACCTCCTTCTTTCTATTGTTGGTAATTTAATAATTTTAAAACAAATTTTTCTCATAGAAAGTAAAATTGTTAATTTTTTAATTGAATGCTTTTTAATGAGGTAAATCAGTGAAAGTGAATTTCTGTTTGAATGCTTTCCTTCAGCTGCTAGATATTGCAAGGTGTAGTATTGTAAATATGATTCTTTAGATGGCCCCAAAGAAAAAGATTTGTATTGGTTAAAGAAGTGGAATTTGCGGGCCAGCTAAAGTTAGTATTTCTTGAAATTAATTTATTAGGATATTATTATCTCATGGTGTAGGTAATTATTCCACCTTGCTGTCATTGAAAGTCTGGTGTGTCATGGAAAGCTAGATGCGCAGACTTCTCTAGCATTTCATGGCATTGTGTCCCATCCTACGTTACCTCTCTCATCTTTGAAAAAGCATCAGCTGATTATTTTTTCTGAGTTAACGTACACCAAATGTGATCCTGAGTCAGTATAATTGATACTGATGAGTGGAGGAATTCATATAATGGAATCAGGCATAATGATCCCTGTCATAGAAAATGCTTTGGAAAAGGCACAGCAAATCAAGACCATCTGCATAATATCATGTCCTCTGATTAGGCCAAAATATTTCCTGTTGCTACCTTCTCACATACAGAAACATTATTTCATGTAATAAAAAATTAAAAAGTTATTTTGTTTTTAAATGATAGCATGACTTTTGGGCCACCATATATTAGCATTACATTGATTTTTTTAACAACACTTTTGTAAAGTTAATTTTTTTTCTCTGTGAATAATTTAGAAGCCCTGTTATGGCTGGTGGACTTTTTGCCATAGATCGTTCTTTTTTCTGGGAGCTGGGTGGCTATGATGGAGGATTAGATGTTTGGGGAGGTGAACAATATGAACTGTCTTTCAAGATTTGGCAGTGTGGAGGTCAAATGGTAGATGCTCCTTGTTCCAGAATTGGCCATATATACAGGAAATTCGCACCTTTTCCAAACCCCGGAATAGGAGATTTTGTTGGGCGAGTATGTTAAATAAATATTAATAATTTTATATATTTATATTAAATATTATTTTTTAATATAATTTGGTTTTATTACAGTGTATGCCAAAAAAATTACAAATTTTTAATGTGGGCATGTGTTGTGTATCATATGTATGCACATGTTTGTAAAAACAAGCAAACCTCCATAAAATTAAGTACACAATTTCTAAAGCAATTAAAATCAAAAGTTCAGAGCATGAGAAATGAAAAGCAGATATTTTGATTCACAATTCTTAAGAATGTCATAACTGTAGCTTTTGTTCTTCAAAAGTAATAAATTTTCTGTTGTTAAACTTCGTGTATATTTTCTCCTTAAGTTTTTGAAATAAATCAAATTGTCAAAAATTTTATTACTACTGCTGTACATTTTATTTTAGTTCATATTGATTATTTAGATAATTTGAAACATGTCTGTATTTTGGGTTTAAATAAAGATTGTTAGTCAAATTAGACACTTAATTGATTGTCTTATTAGCCCAAAGGGCATTAATTAACCCTGAAGGGCTATTAATTTCGCTTTGGCATTTTTCATTGATTCACTATAAACGTTGAGTCACTTTTTAAATTGTTGCCACCAAATATTAGAGCCTTGTATTATATTTAAAGAAATTAAATAATGAAGAGTCTGCATAAATGTATGTACGTTTCTCACCTTGTGATAATTAGTCATCAAATTTCGAGTAATGTACATCTCCACCCGAATATGGGCATCTGGAAACCCAAATTTAGAATTTGTTGTACTATCTATTTAATATTTCGTAAAACATTTATGAATTTTTGATTAAGAAACTCGATGATTTCAAAGCTAGCCATGGTAACACTGTACGGAAACATTTTTATCTCGAGTGCGCAAGATTGTGTATTGAAAATTCTAAAGGCGTGCTCTTTTAAAATTATTTTGTGATATTGCTGTTGAATTGAATTTTATGGCTTAAGTCCAAAGAATATTATATTTAATAAATAAAGGTAACGCACAAAACGTTAAAAAAAAGGCCTCTTTGGACATAATATAAGATCTGAAAACTTTGAGATTTTTTTTTTTTTTTAACTTTATATATATTTGATTGCTTTGGTCTGATTAAAGAGGTCCCAGCTTAGAAAACATTTTTGTTTTTAATACCTGTGTTTATTTGTTATCAGAAGTATTCATCACTTTTATAAATAATCATCATGAGAATATTTCATAAAATATGAGGAGCTAACACAAGATATTAATAACGTATTAACTTTCATACTGTATGAGTTTTAAATCTAATTCTATATATAAGAGAAGGAAAAAAGATTATTCAGAAAGACCTTCAAAATATAAATTGTCCCTATCTTCAGAATTTTCATAAAGGTAAGCTAAGAAAGAAATCAAATGTATGTGAGCTGGTATAAAATTTCACTAAATTACTAATAAGATGATTGGAAAAGTTTTGTGTGACTATTTTTGTGCATTTACTGAATTAATTAAAAGGATTTTATAAATAAAAGTGAAATACTAAATGAATTCTTTTATGAACATTTTGCTCTTAAAAGTTACCTTTTTAAAATATTTTTCTTTTGCAGAATTACAAGCGAGTTGCAGAAGTATGGATGGATGAGTACAAAGAGTATTTATACCTACGGAGGCCTCATTATCGAGACATAGATCCTGGTGATATTTCCCAACAAAAGGCCTTGAGAGAAAAATTAAAATGTAAGCCTTTCAAATGGTTCATGCAAGAGATAGCTTTTGATCAACCAAAAAAGTATCCACCTATAGAGCCACCAAATTTTGCATCTGGAGAGGTATGCATCTTTTTTTCCCCTGATTTTAAAGGAAACCAAAGTATCTCATTTTTCAAGTGCAATTAATTCATAAAATTGTATTATTTTCTTAGAATTTTTTGTTCAAAATCATTTGTTATATTATTACACATATAAGCAGGGCCCAACTTAGCCTAATTGGGGCCTGGGGCAAAAACTTTTTTGTGCCCCCCTTCTGCCTCACTACTTCAGTAATGAAGAACAAAACTTTATGGACATATTTAAATTTTTCACTTCATTATAGATATGTAATAAGAAAATTGACTAGAACCTACGATAGCTATAAAGTCCCCCCTCCTTTCAATGGTCAGTCGAAATATCGTTCTATCCATTTTATTGATTTTCTGACAATTCTATGTCCATCATTAAAAGGATATGGCACATCTGAAGAGCCAAAATTTGACAAAAATGCTATTTAAATGTATAATTAGAAAATGTAAAGACTTTTTTAGCAATTTGAATTAATTAATGAAAAATACCATAGACAAGTCCTATACACTTGAAAAAAGCTTTTAGAGAAAAGCTAGAAAAATGTTCATTAAAGAAGGAAACATAAAATCAACTTTCTGTTCAATTTGGGAGTCCTCCCTGATGTAGGAGGCCTGGGGCAACTGCCTCGTATGCCCCTGTCTTAGTCAGGCTCTGCATATAAGTATACATTGTGATGAAAATAATTATAAAAAATGCATGCATGCTTACAAGTATTTGAAAAGGATTAGAGCAAATAATAAAAATATGATATTATAGTATACCATAAAACAAAACAAAAAGAAAAAATAAATAATTTTCATATTTTTTTAAATGTAACTTCTTTCTTGATTACTTTATTGTATTGAGATATTTATTATTGATACTAAGAAATGCTTACTTTTTATTTTAAGTTACATGAATTATTTTCTCATATATTTAAAATCTGCATTATTCCAAAATACTTAACTATCTAATTTGGTGGAATTGTTTATTAATCAGCTACCTTATCATTTTGCCTTTACTGTCTCTTCTGCTTTGGCTGGTTCATACTAGGATACAAATTACTTAAACACATTAAGATATTCATAAAGTATTAGAGTTCTCATGAGTTAAACAGATAGCGTGTGGCAACTATCAATGACAACCTTGCTGTTGTTTTTTCTGGTGTTTGAATTGCTTAACTTGGCTTTAATCTTGCTAGACAAAATTGCTCGTATAAAGTGAGTGCATAAGCCAAAGCTTACAGGAGCACTTTGTCTAGTAAAGCTCATATTTTATTTTATTGCAGTTATTCCTACAAGTTATGGTGTTTGATTTTTGTATACATTGGTTGTGTATCTATAAGCCTGAGAAAGTGGTAAATAACTTTATTTTAAACATTCTTCTGTGTTTAAACCTTCTTATGTTAATTTACTGAGACAAGTCATCTGACTGTCATTACGAACCTGGAGTTAGTGTTTAAAGTAGTCATAATAATTATTTTGCTAAACAAGTAAAGTAATAAATATTTTTGTATATTATCTGAAATATGGGTTGCAGTTGATCATTTTGCAGTATAGTAGATGCATTAGTTATAAGCAAAATGCAGTTTTAATAGACAGATGATCATAATAAAAAATTAAATATGTTGGGGTTTAACGAAAGTTTCCCGCCACCGCAAATATCTTCTGCGCAAACAGTCCACTTTGACGTGTTTAATCATATTTTATTAAACAATATTTGGCATTTGAAAAAAAAAGAGGCTTGCTTTAGAACGTGTTGTGAAGTTTGTAAAAATATCGTTATTGTTAAGTACAAGCTGTCTGAAATGGAAATATCATACTACCATTTTAGAATAAATATTTACTTCCAGTTCTATTGCAAAAAGTCAGCTACAGAATGTCCTCAAATCATGTGTATAGCTTTAACAGGCATGAAAGTTTTCCGCGTTTTCGCGGTATTCCGCTTTTTTTAACATCACTCGGGCTGTTTCTGAGATCGATGTAGAACCATTGAGAAATTGCGACCGGCAAATGTGAGGGGAGGGTAAATGGAGGACACGCTCTCTCCCTCTTTTCTTTGTAAAAAAACTTTACATCATGCCAGAGATCGCGAAATACATTGTTTTACATCAAGGCGAAGTAGGTGGGGCTTATGTAGAAAGGCGGAACTAGATGCGTACGAATATTGAATCATAGAAGAGCAAGCAACCGTCAAACGAGAGTTGACTTCAATAATTGCAGTGATCGGTGCTGGCACCATCTGTCGGACATACGGATAACCACTTGCATTCTCCAGTACACAAAACTCTACGTAAAAATTTAAGGAATGCTCATAAACTGTACAAAGAAGAGCTAGAGATAAAAAAGGAGCGAGAATTAAAAAAAAAAAAAAAAAAAAAGCAATTAAACATTGCAGAAAATAAAAAAGTATCAATGGATTGTATAAAAGCTGCTGAAAAGAAATTAAAACTAGCTTGCAAACGGAAATTAGAAAAGTTGGCTGCAAAAGTAGCAAAAAATAAAAAGCTTTTTCCCTAAAAATTTTTAATCAGTATCGAGTGAGACAGACAAAATAGTTATTTTTAAAATTCCTCCTTTAACTATATGTTATCTTATTTTGTTACTATATTATCTCACATAACTACTTTTCTGTTGTTATATAAAGTACTGTTTATTGAACTAAAAGTGAAGATAATTGAAAGCTATAGTAATAGTTATATATATATATATATATATTATCTCTAAAACTTGTCATTGCCTGGAAATGGGCAGTAATATATAACATAAATATGTATATTAGTGTGTTGTAATGGTGTGTACAGGTGTACAGCATTCATGTATCAACTGTTAAATTAAGTTTTTTTTTTTTTTTTTTTTTTTTTTTTTTTTACAAGTGGAATAAAATTAAATTCTTTATTATTCTTAAATTATTTGAAAGCTATAGTAATAGTTATATATATATATATATATATATATATTATCTCTAAAACTTGTCATTGCCTGGAAATGGGCAGTAATATATAACATAAATATGTATATTAGTGTGTTGTAATGTTGTGTACAGGTGTACAGCATTCATGTATCAACTGTTAAATTAAGTTTTTTTTTTTTTTTTTTTTTTTTTTTTTTTTTTTTTTTTTTTTTTTTTTTTTTTTTTTTTTTTTTTTTACAAGTGGAAGATAAAATTAATAGCAAAAATAGTAAGTACAAGTATTATTTTAGTTTAATTCTGTGTGTATGCTTAATACTTTTTATATTAAAAGGTTTTTTTTTTTTTTTTTTTTTTTTTTTTTTTTTTTTTTTTGAGGTCACATGTGTGCATTAAGTTTTTGTGTAATTTTGTGTCCGCGCATTGTTCAGCTTTTTTTGCCAACTTGCACTTTCATGCCTGCTTTAAGTACCAATGTTGTATCATAAGACACTGTGAAGGTTTGGTACTGAAAGTTCAAAAACAAGGACTATGACATGCAAGAAGCAGAGTGCTCTGGCCTGCCTACTGATGTTTATGAGGCACTTGTGGAAGAAGATCAGTACAGTCAAAAGTCGTTAATTCGGACACCCATAATACGGAATGATCTATAATCCGGACCTCAAAACTAAAAGCTTTCTGCGCATGCGCCGCGTTGACACATGCGCATAGGCGTTTGCGCGTGCACGTAAGACCTTTTACGACTGCGCATATGAGTGTGCGCAAGTGCAGAATACGTTTTCGCGTGCGCGTTTTATGTATAATGGACGTATAAGCTAAAATTATCTAATTATCTATTTCAGTTAATGTTGATGATTGCGTTGTTCCTTAATTTTCGAATTGGATCCGGCTTATTATTTTTTGCAGACTGTAAGAGCAATTTTATAAAAGTAAGCTTAAACTTTCGATTATATCAAATAGAATTTCTGATATATATTTGTTAATATGTAAAGGATCTAAAGCGAAAGTATGTTTTGAAATCCGAAATCTGTTTATCAATTTCACGCTGCTCGGCGGGGGGAACGCCGCGACGTAATGAATTGGAAGTTGATCTGTCAACACTATCCTTATCTTCAGCGCAGATGTTTTTATTTTATTTGGCTTATAATTTCTTTACCAAATGTAGTATTTCATCTCGATATGCTCCATCTTTGATATGATTTAAAACAAGTTCCTCGTCGTTATAATTCGCTTCCGATAGCGAAGAAAAGTGACAGAGGTTATTGAAAACGAAAAAATTTCGATTGACAAATTAGTTGGTGTTCTCGACACAGCAATTATAGGACTTGAACAGCGGAACTTTGTAACTGAACAAGAAATTATGTCTGTTTAAATAGAATTAAAGAGAAAGTATTATCACATAAAACGAAGCAAAACTTAAACAACTTACATTGAAAGAAAAATGTTTAATAAAGTAAACAAATAAATATTAAGCTTTTTCTTTTTGCAAATTTTGATACCCTTTAGATCATAATTGTTCTTTATTTCATAAATTACGGTTTCATATTTTTAATTTTAGAATTTCTGCATGCCATCTTACGAGATTTAAACTGATGATCTATAATCCGGAAAAATCGATAATCCGGAATCGCCGAAGTCCCGACGAGTCCGGATTAACGACTTTTGACTGTATTGCAACCATTCAAGAGCTTACTGATGAGTTAGACAATGTCATGTCCATTAGTCGCACAATGCATCACATAAACTTGGCGTATAAGTTCAGTCGCTGAGTGCTGCATGATCTGACTCAAGCAGATAAAGACAGACATGTTCAGACCTGCTCAAATATCAATGCGAGGACAAAATTCTGGACGTGATCATCACTTGTGATGAAAAAGTGGATTTACTTCAACAACACAAGCAGGAAAGGGAGTTGGTCTACTCCCGGTGAGCCCGTCGGCAGCATGACCAAGCGTAATTTAACTATAAAAAAAGATCATGCTTTGTATCTGGTAGGATTGCTGTAGTATTATCCACAAAGAGTATGTGGAAAAAGTTAAAACCATTGACAGAGTAAGGCATGCACTGAGATGCTAGTCTGTGTTGACACTACTATCAAGGAAAAACATCAAACTGTATTCCAACACAAAAAGGTAATGCATCAAGATAATGCAAGACCACATGTGTCTGCATTCACCGGCTGGCCTCTATACTGACTCAAATGAGATCTTTTGGCACACTCACCATATAGCCCCAACATCGCTTCTTCAGATTTTTACCTTTTTTCCACATCTGCAGCTATATCTTGCTGGTGTGATCTTCCATTCTGCACAGGACACCGGAAATCAGGTTGATCTGTTTTGGGACTCGTGGTCACCAAGTATCTGGGCCGAAGACTTCAAAAACTGCCAAATATTAGCAGAAAATCATAAATTTGGGTGGTGATTACTACTCGCGCTAAAGATACTGCTTTCATGTTTTTTTTCCCTTGACTTCATTAAGAAAATATTTTGGCAAAAACTTTCAGTACAACCACATATATTCATTAATTTAAAACTGAAAGTAGAAAAAGTCCAAATGTAAATATTTCTGAAATAAATCTTTTTCATGCAAGTCCTTTAAAAAAATCACACACACACACACACCAAAAAAAGGGGGACACCCCCCAAAAAAAATTTATTTTTTGAATTGAGAATAAAATTTTTTAGAACCATTGAAGTTATTGAAGAAGAATTATGTCATCATTCAATTATAATATAGAACAAGCATGACCAAATTGTGACTCCATGATTCACATTTAATATAGCCCATATTGTAACAAAAATAATTTTGTTTTAGAATTATCATTCCAACTGAAATCAAATTGATGCTAAAATATACTTCGTAATAAACTGTAATTTTATGTTTGTACTTATATGTATAGCAGTTTTAAGGAATACTATACTGTGTGAAATTTTTGTTATTTACTAATAGATTATGATTTTTTAAAGCATGTAAGCCTATCAGAACAGCAGAAAAGACAAATGTATTTAGTAAACTGCATCTGTCATGTACTTCATTAATGTAGGTGCTTTCCACATTTTCATAATGAATATGCTTATTTGTAATTTTCATTGGGAAAAACAAAATCTATCTTAGGGTCCTGTTTGTGTTTAAGGAATTAAATGCAAATGCTTCTATCTTCTCATATATTGGTCCTTAAGTTAACTGTGTGAGAAAACTAAACTGTTATTTTTTATACAAAAAATCTGCTAAGCTGATAGCTTATCTCTAATAATTATTTTATTTCTGTCAGAGTGTCTTCTCCATTTCATTTCAAATAAAGTAAAATCTCTTGATTCCATTTGTGAAAAGAATAACACAGTATTTCTCAAATCATTGAATTATTCTTTAAATGAATGCAAAGCTTTTTATATTGTTGTAAAGACCACTATGTCTTCCTTCTTTTCCGATTTGCTCTTATTAAAACCAGTTGTAATCAGAATTGGAGGTAGATTGGAAACTAGAAGAAAATGCTTTGTTTTCTATTGAGAAAAAAAAATATTTAGTTATAATATTTAAGTTTATCGTAAAGTTTAAAATTTGTTTAACATAGAAACATACTTTCCTAAATACAATACAAAAGCAATGAAATATATATGTTGCATATAGTAGACAAAATTACTTATATGTAAACTGTGTTTATCATAAAATATGATATCATTGACAAATTTGTTGAAATTTTTTAAAGCCGTAAAATACTTTTTATTCAAAAAAAAAAAATTTATGCTTTTAAAATGATATGAATATTCAGTTGTGGCTTTTCAGTTTTTCTGAATTCTAACATGTGGCTCCTACTGACATGAAGTTTAACCATCCTCAGTATAGAGAATGTAAATGTTTCAACATATATATATTGCAAAAAAAAGAATTTTTTTTCTTCAATTCATTAGTTTTACTTTTCTGTCTTTATAGGTTAGAAATGTGGCTAGTAATTTGTGTATTGATACAAGATTCCGTAATCAAAATGATAGATTTGGTCTTGAAAAATGCATCAAAGATCATGCTGCCCAAGGGGGTGAACAGGTTAGTGCTATATGAATGTACAGTTTCATTAAACTGTACTAAGGGAAAAAAATGTTTGTATTTACTGTGTTAGATTTTTGAATAGTATAGCATGAATGGTGTAAGTTCACTATTATAAAATTTGAAAATGCTGGTTAATATTGAGGATAATTAGAAATAGCTCGAATTATTAAAACACAGTTTTTAAAGAACCTAAGTGATTAATAGCACTTAGGAACCTAAGTGATAACAGTTGAGGTTAGGAGTAAATTTTTCCTTAGCTATTTTTATTAGTTGAACTTTTGGGTATATACAAAATATTATCATTCAGCAAATGAGTCCCTTATCTTGGGGGATCCTCAATAAAACTCTTGCATGGTCCCCACAAATTACAGCTATTATCCAGAAGTTTTGAGTTCGTAAAGCTGAACTATGCCCCTTATTGCACTAAACAGTGTATTATCTATAGGTAATAAGTTACTCATTTACAAGTCCATTCTACATCCATTACTGTGTTATGCAAGTCTAGTTTGGACATATACTAAAATGACTAATAGAAAAAGAGTTGCAAGTCTGCCAAAATAGTGTTCTACGCCAAATAATTAATGCAACATTCAGAACAACATGATTCATGAGGAATTAGGTTTTAAGTTACTCCGCACTCATTACTATAAATTGGATAAAAAATTTCATGAAAGGCAGCAACAAATTGACAACTCGAGTATTAAAATTTGTGATTATGACTTTAACTGCTTAAGCAATATTGACAAGGCCGATGGCCAAATTAAATGTATGGATTATGTAAATATAAGCTATATATATTCTATCACCCATAATACTCTCAGATTTTATACCTTAGTATTGTGCTTTGTATTCTCTCTTTTGTATTTGTGTTCATGTACATATTTTGTTAACAGATTCAAACTGCCATAATTTGCAGTTGCTTTATCGTGGGTTACCAGTCAGTTTGTCAGCTTCTGGGTTTTCATAGTTTATATCAGCTTATTAACATCTCCCTTCTCCCAATTTTTATTTTTAACTGTATAAAACTATAATAAAAAATTCACAAAATAAATTTAAAAAAAAATAATTAAAATTATTCTTTACGGTTATTGCTTATAACCTTTCGCAATCACCAAATTATTCTACAAGGGGTAGAACCTTGTTCTCAGGCACCCTAGAGTTGCAAACACCGTTCTACCAGGGAGGCATTCAGCAAATGGTATGTTGGAAATGGGAAGAACTTTAAAAGAACATGTCATACTGTATATACTTCAAAAATAAGTTCTATTGTTCTAAGCTTTTCTTTTGTAGTTTCCAGTATTTATAACAGTGTTGACAATATAATAATACAATTATGTCTGTTTGGAAAGGGCAAAAGGGAAAAAAGGAAACAAATTATAAAAAGCATTAGAATTATGTTATATGAAAAATTTTGCTCTTTGCACCAAATACAGTCAAAAGTCTTTAATCCGGACTCGTCGGGACTTCGGCGATTCCGGATTATCGATTTTTCCGGATTATAGATCATCAGTTTAAATCTGGTAAGATGGCATGCAGAAATTATAAAATTAAAAATATGAAACCGTAATTTATAAGATAATGAGCAATTATGATCTAAAGGGTATCAAAATTTACAAAAAAATAAGCTTAATATTTATTTGTTTACTTTATTAAACATTTCTTTCAACACGCGCATGCGTAAAGCATACATTACGCATAGCCGAAATTAGAAAATTGCAACCAGAAAACTATTTGATTTGTATTCATGATATTTATAATGACGAGGAATTGATTTAAATCATATCAAAGACGGAGTACATCGAGATAAAATACTACTACATTTAGTAAGGAATTATAAGCCGAATAAAATAAAAACATCTGCCCTGAAGATAACGATAGTGCTGACAGATCAACTTCCAGTTCATTTCGCGCCGCAACGTCCCCCCCGCACAGAGCAGTGTAAAATTGATAAAAGATTTCGGAACGGTTAGATAAACAAAGGATATGCCTTTATCCATTTTTTGCAGCAATTCCACTTTTTGTTTGATGGACATCGAAACATACTTTCGTTTTGTAGATCCTTTGGGAGCTCCAGCATCGGAAATTCTATTTGACATAATCGAAAGTTCAAGCTTACTTTTATAAAATTGCTCTTACAGTCTGCAAAAAATAATAAGCCGGATCCAATTCGAAGATTAAGGAACAACGCAATCATCAACATTAACTGAAATAGATAATTAGATAATTTTAGCTTATACCATTCTTTATACATTAAACGCACACGCGAAAACGTATTCTGCGCTTGCGCAGACACATATGCGCAGTCGTAAAGGTCTTGCGTGCACGCATAAACGCCTATGCGCATGCGCAGAAAGATTTTAGCTTTGAGGTCCGGATTATGGGTGTCCGAATTAACGACTTTTGACTGTATTTCAAATCTGAAAATGCATATTTTTTGTAATTACAATATATCATGTAAGCTTAATTTTTCTTCATTTTATTCTTTCATAAAATGGCTGCACTAACCTTCAGTCTTATTCTTATTTAAATTAGATACAATTTTGTTTTCAATTTACTTTTTTTTTTTTTTTTTTTTTTTTTTTTGTCTAATTTCTTACTTGATTACCATTTTTCTTTTGAGAAGCTGAAGATTGCTCTTTCATGTGTTTATATAAAGCATTAATTTAATTTTTAAATACAGCAGTTTGAATTGACTTGGCATAGAGATATTAGACCAAAGAAAAGAACAGTATGTTTTGATGTGTCATCATCTGACAACCATGCACCTGTTGTCTTATGGAGTTGCCATGGGATGCAAGGAAATCAAGAATGGAAGTATAATTATGTAAGTGAATAGAATTTTTTCTCAAATGCAAATATCTTTAGCTATACTGGATAGTGAAGATCATGTGTCATTTAGATATACTTAACCCTAGAATACTACCCATTCGTCTCCTGGACGAAGCTCATAACAATTAACCTTGCCCGGTCTTCCATAAAACATGGAATTGGGAAGTGTGACTAAGTACCTTTATATGATCCATTCCGCTATAGATTAAGACACTCTTTCATACCAGAATATTTTCTCATAAAGCATTTTTAGAACAATATTCATCTCACAGACAAATGGTTAGCTGTAATGTTTCATTTCAGAATCCGACTTAAGTTCATTTCTGTGTTGCCTTGAAAATGTCAAAGAGTTTTTGTGCAAAAACTTTTTGGGGTAGACCTGAGGCTACCCAAAAGTGATGAATAAAATTCTATTTCTTGGAATGAATCGAAGAAAGAAGATTTTGCCGAGGTTGAAAATCACGAATTCACAGATAGCAACAAAGATGGAAATGAGGAATTATCACTTGACAATAAAGATGAATAAGAAATAATATTTGAAAAATAAACTCAGGATGATGAAAATTTTCATTTGAAATATGGAGTTAAAAAAGAAAATGCTAAACAAGTTAAAAAATTAAATTTGAAATACAGAGCCTAAAAGGAAAATTCTTAAAATTTGAAAAATACCAAAATTTTTTCAGTCATGAAAAATCTGTTATTTACCATTTTATCATCTGTTATTATTAATCTGTTATTTAATATTTTATCATGTGTTCCTAAATCAAGCAACACAAGTACAGCATCTCACAATATTATCAATTTATTAAAGAACCAAAGGACTGAGCCGTAAAAGGGACTGCAGACACATTGAATGCAACAAGATGTCATGTAGTAGAAAACTCGCCGAAGCCTCTTTTCTGCATTTCGCAATATGATAAATAGCAGTTTAATGCATGCACATGTTATATATGTGAATAATTTAAAATTCGAAAAGGCATTATCGAGGAAAAAGTTTGCAATGAAGCTAAGTGAAGATGCTGTTGCTCCATGGATGAAGAAGAGTTACAACACACCAACTTTGCCTCAATCAACCAGAACAACTATAAGCGAACTGTTGAAACTTCCTGAACAATCTGACAGTAAAAAAGAAGAAAATGTGCTTTTTTCCCATACAGTTTGCGTACAATGACTTCCAACTTTTGTCAAACATGTTCCAGAGTAATGCGCAGAGAACAACATGCTAGTAAGACTGCTTTGAGAATAAATAAATAATACTTTCTTGCTAACTTGAAGTTTCAGAGTCCTGAAATCATCTGCGGGTAGTATACTTTTATTTTATGAACTTTTAAAATAGGTTTTAAACATGCTTACGCACAACTAGTCTTGTAGATGAATGGTTACTATTCCCGAAAGTTTTTCAAAGAGTAGCATTCCAGGGTTAAAATTGTGCCATTTTAATAAATAATAAATTTTTTAAATTCTTTTTGGGGGGTTATTTTAATAAAAATTAGCTCCTTCTTTATGTAATTTAAAGTAGTGTTTCTGTAAATAATTCAGTTACTTAAAATTTATCAGCTTACTAATGTAATTTAAAATAAAATACATAAGTTAATACATGAATAACTTGATAAAGTATAGGGAAACTGATTCTAGTAATGTAATATTTTAGTCAAAATATTATTAATAATAAAAATGCTGCAGCATACTGAATTTAAAAATTATTTAAAGCAATCTTTTTTTTTTTTTTTTTTTTTTTTTGTTTAATAATTAATTGATGCAAATATAAAGTTTATTCATCTAAAGCAGTTCTTAGTTTTTAGCTCTTTCAAAATATTACATTAGTGCTTCTTTTGCAATGGAAAATCTAAAGGCTTCTTGAGAACTTTAGATTGAAAGCCTTATATTAAAATATTCCTGGGAGCTATTAGCTTTAAAATATAAAAACTGTGAGAAAGCTATTAGATTTTCTGTCTAAAAGAATCTTTAATAGCGATTTAAATAAAACATAACTAAGGATATGCTCATTAACATGGAAAGTGTTTAAAAAATTAGCTACAAGCTTTATGTGTACAAGTTTTGATTGGGGACTTACAGTTGTAAAGTTTTTTAAAGTAAAGAACATAAAAAAAAACTATTGAATTATTTATTTTATAATTAATTGGTACTTTTTGATATCCCCGCCAGATGTTGTCAGCGCAGTATTCATAAGGCAAAGCAGTAATATTACTAAAATAGTTATCTGGATACCCACATTGCTGGCAAAAAGTATTTTTGTTACAACTTAGCAGGCCCGCGCCAAGCCTAATCGGCGCCGCCATGCAAATGTCTAGCGAGTGCCTTTATATGATAAATAGCAGTTTAGAGACGATATTAAAGGGAAATTGCTTATAGTTAACACTTAAAATGAAGCATTATTAACATAATAATATGAAAAACAAAAAAAATAATTACTTTTTATCTTTTAATTTGTTTAAATATGCAAACATTTTGTGCTTTTTTAAAACCTACACTCAAACATATTTATTGAAGACTTATACATATAATTAAGTTATAAAAAGTCGCACAACCGGTATAGTGGTTAGCATTGCTGACTGCCGTACCGAAGGGCCCAGATTCGAATCGCGGAGAAGGCATGGATGTTTGTAAATGTGTAGTGTCTGTGCGGCATGGGGGCACTCTAAATATGCGGTGAGCCGAAAGTCCTCTAGATAGGTTGGTGGTAGGGGAACAGTTGTGCGAGACGCTTGGACCCGTTCCCCCCCCCCATCCATCAAAATTGGAGGCGAAACTGAGCTAAATCACACTGTCGCCTGTAAGATATTGAAGGCTGTTGCGAACGACAGGCATATCTTGAGCTTCTTGCCCCAAGGAATCTCGTGGGCTTGGGCTGACTGTAGGTCAGATAAGTCAGCATTAGTCAACAACAACAATAACATGATGTACAAAAGTAACACTGCAAGCGAAGTGAAATAATATACTAAACGCATTGGATACCAAATATATTGCTGAATACTATTTATTACCTTGCAATTAAACCAAATTAATTTACATATCTAAGAAGTTTGTACTGAGTAGATTGATGTTCACAGCCTAGTTTAAGACAAGGTTCAAACTGTGATTGCAACAGGGCACAAAAGATGCTCTAGGGCTGATTTCTAGGGATATATCCAAAATTCTTTTCTGCACATGGCTAATGTTGTTGACTATGATATAGCTTAGAGTTTCAACTGGCGATTTATATCAATTTAATTTTTATGAGTTACTGCTTTTTGCAGTTTTTGATATAAGTTGAGCTGATCTCGTAAATAAATATATTTACGAGCTGATCGTAAATAAATATATGTGAACGAAAATATGCGATGCCGATGCGTACGTAAGGTTAGAGGCCTGTGCTATAGACGTGTTCGACAATTTGCTTAATCCTTATTTTGTGCCTACTGTTACAATCGCACTAATTTGTGCACCATTTAACTTTTTTCTGATTTTTTTTTTTTTTTTTTTTTTTTTTTGCTGATTGCTTGTTATTTTTATTCTACATAGAAAAAGGGTAAGTGCACTTACACATTATGTTAAATTTAGGTTAGATTTGTAACTCAGAAAAGCGACGATTTGAGCCTAATTACTCGAAAAATGTTTTTTTTACATGAACCATTTGTTTATTAAACTCAAAATTATTATCTTTCTAGAAGAAAGGATTGACATATTTATGGAATACCACTGAATTTAAAATATACCTATTTGAGATATAAAGTGAAGTAAAAATATACAAGGTATTCTAAAATCAAAAATTGGCCACTTTCTGAGTTTTAGCGATACGGAAAACCGAAGGAAAATGTTTCATTATTTCATCACGTCTTAAATAGATATTTTAAATTGATTTATTTACGTTAATAAACTAAAGATTACCATCACTTCCTTGAATTATTTGGTATGGTCTAATTCTAATAATTCATATATTTTCCAAGCAATGATTTAAGATATACTCAGTTTTTCAGAAGGTAAAATATTTCAAACAGTGACTCTCCGAGTGTTTTGAAGAAGTGTTTTATGTAATAGTTCTATTAAGAAAGAGAAAGTGAGAGGAAGACTTAATAAACCAGAACTTTAAAATTACTCAGTTTTTGCAAAACCCAGAGAACCCATGCTGACGCTGCTAGCACTAGTTATGCATCAATGTGTCAGCTACCATCGAAATTACCAAAAGAACCTAATAATCAGAAAGAATTAGAAAGTGTTTTCACCAGAGAATTACCTTTTGACTTCAATACAGCCAGTTGAAAAAAAACAGAAAAAATACTAGTGAAATCTAAAATTTCTGCAGTAGATATGCATTTGCTTGTGCCTGGTGATTCCAGATTATGCCCAAGTCCATTACTGAAATGGACAACCTTAATTGCTAAACAACGCAAGAGTTAAAAGGGATTGGTTTCTTAATTCTGATGAAAAAAATTTTGTTTATTGTTTTTATTGCAAAATTTTTAACAGTTTCAGCAATATAAAATTGAGTAGTTCTGAATTTAATGACTAGAACCACTTAATTGAGCACTTAAACCTTCATGAAAAAAATAAAACTAATTTCCAGAATCTGTATCTTTGGTCTGATTTCTTACAACGATTAAGAAAGAATAAACCTGTTGATTCAAATTTCAAAATTTATTTAAAAAAAAGAGACTAAACATTGGTGAGATGTTATTGAAAGAATTATCTATGCCATTCAGTTTTTAGCCAAACAAAACTTAGCCTTCCTTGGTTCCAGTAACAAATTATTCGAACGAAATAATAAGTTTTTAAAGTGTATAGAAATGATCACAAAATCTGACCCTATCATTTCGGTATATATTAAATTCAAACTAAAAAACATACGCCTCATTACCTTGGAGTTAAAATTCAAAATGAAACAATTAGCTTATCATGGGCAGTATAAAGCAAATTATTTTAAATAAGGTCAAACAGGCAAAATATTTTGCTTGATTGTACCCCTGATGCCAGCCATCAAGAGCAGATATCAATTTATATGAGGTATCTTAACTTAGAAAATACAGACATGAGTATTGAAGAAAGTTTTTTAGTATTTTATGTTACAACAGATACGACCGGTGAAGGACAAACAACATTCTTATTAAACACTTTGGTTTAGATATTAGTAATTTACTTGGCCAAGAATACGACAACTATTCAACCATGGGAAGCAAATAGTTTTCGAGTTATTATGCTCAAATTGTTGCTTTTCTGATTAAAAAAGTTAATCTAAGTTTAACATAATATGTAACTAACTATACATACCTTTTTTTATGTAGAATAACAACAACAACTAGCAATCGCAAAAAAGATAGATGTTGCACAAATTACTGCGATTGCAATAGTAGACACAAAATAAGGATTAAGCAATTTGTCGAATGCTTCTGCACTTACATACGCATCAAGTATTTTCACGTTCAATTGAAACAGAAGAGAATACCAGAGATTAACTTCTGCCCTGGTTATAACTTTCAGTCAAATAAGATAATGTGCTACATGGAAGGAAGGGGCACTCAGATCTGGCAAGCTCAAGGCTGCCTTAACACAGTTAAACGTCACAACCCCCTAGAGATGATCTAAGAGGCCGCTAACCTATCCATTGAACCCACAAGCTAAGACTAAGCTGAGTCGACAGGAATACTCAGCAACTTACATCCCACGTCCACGTCCTGAAGGGATGGTAGAAACATCTGCCATCAACAGGGGCCTCAACCCCAGACAGCAGAACGAAGTCACTTAAACACTGTCAGACAGACCGGACTACTAATCCAGCCTGCTAACACTATGGCATGATATACGAGGGCTATCCAGAAAGTAGATTACGTTTTGGAATAAAAAAATAAACAAAGTATAGGAAACAAATTTTATTATATACAGATGAAAGCCACACTCAAATACTACTTTTCTACATAGTCACCATACAAATTAAGGCATTTATCGTAGCGATGTACGAGCTTGGAAATTCCTTCGTCGAAAAATTCGGCCGCCTGCGCCTTCAACCACTTCGTTACCTCTTCTTGCAGCTGTGCGTCGTCATCAAAACGCTGCATAGCCAGCCACTTCTTCATTGCTGGGAATAGGTGGAAGTCGCTCGGTGCCAGGTCGGGACTGTACGGCGGATGAGGAAACAACTCCCACTTAAAAGATTCAAGAACTTTACGAGTGACATTTGCCGTGTGGGGCCGGGCGTTGTCGTGAATCAACAAGATCTTAGAGCTCAACATTCCTCTGCGCTTGTTTTGAATTGCTCTTCTGAGTTTTTGGAGAGTTTGGCAATACCTTTGAGAGTTTATTGTAGTGCCTCTTTCCAGGAAGTCCACCAAAATTACACCTTTTCTGTCCCAAAAAACAGTCGCCATCATCTTCCTTGCCGACATTGTTTGCATGCATTTCTTGGGTTTTTTTGGGGAGAACTTGTGTGCCCCCACTGCATTGATTGCAATTTCGTTTCACAGTTCACATGTTTCACCCATGTTTCGTCACCAGTAACGATGCGATCGAGTAAAGAGTCACCATCCTTATGGTAAGCGTCCAAAAAGTTCAACGCTGCAGCCATTCGCTGATTTTTGTGGTCCTCTGTCAAGATTTTTGGAATCCATCTTGCACAAAACTTGTGGTAACCAAGCTTTTCGCTGATGATTTCGTGCAACAAACTTCGCGAAATTTGTGGAAAACTCAAAGAAAGTTCCGTTATTGTGAAATTTCGATTTTCACGGACTTTAGCATCGACTTTTTCGAGAAGTTCGGCGGTCACTATGCTGGGTCTCCCACTTCGATCTTCGTCGTGAACATTGGTTCGGCCATTTTGAAATCTTATGACCCACTGACGCACTCCACCTTCAGTGATAATGTTGTCCCCATACACTTCACGAAGCTGCCGATAGATTTCTATCGGTTTACAGTTTTTTGCAGTCAGAAACCTTATTACTGAGCGCACCTCGCAGCTCGCGGGATTTTCAATTAACGCAGACATTTCAAACCGTCACAGTATCTGAACGGAGCACAGCACGAACCTCTCACTAGCACGGCTATATGCAGACTGAGCTGCGCAACGCTCTGACCCCAAGATGGCCGCGCTAGCCCCGCCCCTAGCGGACACAGACGGAAACGTAATCTACTTCCTGGATGGCCCTCGTACATGTTGGTGTTAGGTGCTCCAGGGAAGGATATGAATATGCATTTTTGAGGTTCCAGGCACCCGTTGGAAGCCTCAAGCAGTTAAAAGGCTCACTGAATTCGTCAGCTCATGACTCCAGTCCTATGGAGACAGATTTTAAAGACCCATGGCCGAGACTGCCTAGGTACAAATCCTAATTTAGTAGCCTTTCACTTATTAACTTGGTGAAAAATGAGTCATCAACCAGTTTGCAATGTTTCTGTGGGGGTGCAGATAATCAGAAAGGAGCAATTATTCTTTAATTTAAAGTAATAAGTGTGTTTCATAATAAAATATTTGGAATTTCTCAGCAGGTTGCATTTTGAATTGTTATTACCAATAAAAAATTTTAAAGATTTTGGTTTATTAATTTATAAGTTACTTGTGTTAAAACTGCAAAACTGAGGAAAAATAATTGTGGATATGTTTCTTTTCATTTTGGTTATGTTTTTTAAGAAATTATTTCAGTTTAGTGTAACTAGAACATCTTAATGGCAGTTTATTAACTTGTTTAATCATTTTAAAATATTTACAGGAACATTTACAGCTTTTTCACCCAATAAGTGGTCATTGTTTGGACTGTGATATAGAAAGGAAAGAGATTTTTATGAGCCCATGTGATATTAATATAAAAACTCAAAAATGGAGGTTTGAAACTTACAACAAAACTGCATTGGACAATTGGTGATCATAATTTATTTTAGGTTTTTCTTCTGTGTTGGAGTTTTTTTAGTTCCTGCAAATTTAAATTTTGAGCATTCCATTTTGTGTGAAATTATTCATATTTGATTGCCTTTTGAATTGGTTCAAATCCGAAACTTTGTGCCAATATAATTTTGATAATATATACCTATTACTTTATTTTTATAGGTTTTTTGAACTTTTTTTTTTTTTTTTTTTTTTTTTTTTTTTTGTTTGTTTGTTATATTTCCCCTTTATCATAGATAAATATTTTTTTATTGTAACAAAGTGTAATATTGAACGATGAATATATTGTTTTACACTATTATTTGAATACTTAATGTATATTTCAAAATGCATTATTTATTTATTGCTAATTTCAAGACACTTAAAATATGCATCTGAAATGCACAAATAAAACTTATGTAACCATATTAGCCTAAATATAAAATGATTTCCCATTTCTAAGGGTACTTTACTAGAAAAAGATTACTAGCATACAAGATGGCCTTATGTACATGAGCTTGATATGCTGAGTATGTCTCACAAGAAAGATAATTTACCATACCCTGATGTGTAAATAAATAGAGATCAATAATAGATGATCTTTATATATTTTTAAAATATTAGGTTCCACATGTATAAACTATGGGGTAAGACATTTTAAGGAGAAAATTGTATTATATTTAGCTCAATATGGTATATAATTTATGAACTTCTTTAAGCTTTTTAAAAATATTGCATGTAATTTTATGTATAGTAATGGTTATCTACTTCTTGCATGTTGTGATGTGTTTGAAATTTAAATATTCTTTGATTAATCATCAATAAAATTATCTTTCTTTTTCACATATTTATAGATAAAATTTCTTTTCTATTTCTATTTATAGATAAAATTTCTTTTCTATATTATTAACATTTTAAAATGTATTTTAATGAGTTTCAGCATTGAGAGTAAAATATAAATAGGAATAATTTCTAAAATTTTACATCATAATTTCTGAATTTTTTTTTATTTTAACTTCTTTGTCTCAATTTTTAAAAATGCAACTGTCACTTCAAAAGTAAAGTTAGGTAAGAAATATCTTCCTAACCAAGGCATCTGCATCTGTTAACTTGAGTAAATGCAATTTTTACTGAAAGTAAATAATATCACATAGTTCATGCATTCGCATTTACAGATTGCTACTGAGAATATTGTTAAATTGGTTTAAAAAGATATTTTGAGAAATAAACTATATACTTTTAAAATTATTTATGCCTTTTGCGTGACAGATTAAGCTCATCTGTAATTTGAATATATATATATATATATATAAGAATAAATTGAATTTAATTAAAAAAATTTAATTTAAATACAAATTTAATTAAATATTCTTTGCGCCATTGCTGCAAGGAATGAAATTTAAATTTAAAAACAAATTTAAATTTAATTTTTAACAAATACGTATAAAAGTAAAAAAGCAAATTTAAATCCTGAAAAAAGGAGAAAAGCCAAAATAATTTTTTAAAAAAATGTGCAAACAGATAAAAGATTTAATACTCGAACTAATCTACAATATCATTTAAATTCAGAAGCATAAGCAAATCAAGTGTGCAAAATCAATCCATGAAAATAAATTTACTAATTTAATAAATTAAAATTAAATTGAACATTTTTTTTTTTTAAATGCATATGTGAATGACCGTTGAGTAGGCACTACTTTTATACGTATTGTTAAAAATTAAATTTAAATTTGTTTAAATATATATATATATATGTTTTTTTTTTTTTTTTTTTTTTTAATTAAGAGATTTCTAAAAATGTATTAAATACTGCCTATGGTACTGTTTTCACACACTGTAGAAATAAAAATGGTCAGTTTCAGTAGATTATATTTATCTTCCTAATTTTGGATCTTTAGAATGGTAAAATAAGCATGATTGATTCTTGTATCATTAATTTGGTGCCTGTGCAGAATTAAGTAAAATTTATTCAACATATATAACAAATTTTCTATAGCCAAATTTTTGTTTTTCTGGAATTCATAGCAATTTGGAATTCTCTTAGTTAGGATGCATTTATCATCAAAACACTGCACCTGAATCCTTCAATTTTATTGTTTATACTATAACTAATACATCTTTACTGCATATTTTCTTTTTTTTTTTTTTTTTTAATCTGCTGAACACATTCAGTGGTTTCTAACAAAACTGTAAAGATTTAAAGGGAAATAATTTTGCATCAATAACTGATCGGTGGATGATTAACAACTAATGAGTTGGACATAGTAAAAATTTTTATAGTACCCAGACTGCTACAACTGCCATATTTGCTTCTTAAATGGAGAATCTTTTTTTATTTCTCCACTGCACAAAAAATATCAAAATGTTAAGAATATCATAAAGCCTAAAAACAAGTACATCTGTGCATATTAAAGTGTCTAAAGTTTATTTGTGTAACTTATATCAGGAATACATTATATATGCCAACTATTTGAAAAATGTAATTACAGGCTTTATTTCATTAAATATTGATCCTAGGCATGAATTTATTGCAAAGTTTTTAAAAATATACTAGAGAACTTACGGAAACAATTTCAACCCTCTTAATGGGAAGTTTCTGTAAATACAAAATCTGGCTTTTTATATATTCTTTATAAAACAAAATTTACAGTTAGTAAGGCATTCTTTTATACTTTAATAAGATGAATACAAAATATTCCGTACATGTATTCATAAAATTTACAAAGATATTTTGAAAATAAATTTACTTGGTTTTATTGTTTTCAATGCCAGTCACTGATTGAAGTTTAACATTTTTCTAATTAATTTTAGAAAGTAGCAGCGAATTCAAGTTTAGCATTTAATGGTTTTTCATAATTGGTAAAACAGGTCTTTTTTGGGGGGATGGGTAGCTGTCCCCATAACATTATTAATTATTTATGTCCATAAATTTTGAATGTAAAAGGATATACATTTTTACATTTAATATAATACTGGATATTTTGTTTCATCATGCGTATTAAAATCTATTCATTATACTTCTGAAGTTAGATTTATATTTAAGAATGATGAAGTTATATTTAAGATATTATGAAATTACATTTAAGAATTCCTTCCTATCATCAGTGTTGAAACTGTGTCCATAAATTTCTGTACCTTATTTTGTGACTATAGTTGGAAGTGTGTACATCTAGGATGAATATTTAAGGAAATAGAATTTTGTAGCCACATTTTTATAACACTGTATATACATATATCATAGCTACTAAGGAGATACTTAGTGTTTCCTCCTGTCTCCCAACAGATCACTGAATTTCCCAGTTTTTAATTTTTAGTCTCTTATACTATAGTTACCGATGCAGTTTTATTCTTTTATCTATCAAATTACAGAACAAACCTGAAAAGTTGATACGACCATATGAGGCATTAGGTGAAGAAGAGTACAAGAACTATTTCTCATCCAAAATATCAAGTGCCAAATGCACTAAAATGCTTCAGTCAAAGTGAAGTAAAAGAATTATAAACATAACCAATATGAAGTGAAGGGATTGTTTTGCTTTTTTCTTTGCTGCATGTGTGGCATTCTAATTATTTAATTAATTTGAAGTTAATTATTAGTTTTTATGTTGGCATTAGTTATTAATTTAATATTTATCATATTTAAAGGTACTCTAAAAGCTTTTCTTCCTCGGCCAAGATTTTGCCAAAGAAAATTTCAAAATTAAATGAAATTGGATTGTAATTTAGAATATCTTAATTAAATATTAATATGTTTTACATCATTTTTGTATTATAAATAGTTCAGTAATCTAAGTTATGCATTATAAATTGGATTTAAGTCAATCTTGAAATTGCATCAATGTGCAGCATAGAAACCACCTGATTTCTCCTGTAAAAATCTTCTGGATTTTCAGATTTCAAGGTTGGCAGCTATGGTGTATGTATGTGTGTGTGTGTGTATATATATATAAGTTACATAAGTTGTGTGTATATATATATATATACACACACAGAGAGAGAACAAAATTTGTATATATTTGTATGTACCAAATAGGAATTAATATACAGTCAAATATCATTAGGAGATCACTCAGACAGCAGATCACTTACTTCATTTACTAACTCAGATGTTTTGTGTGGGGGCTCCCAACCAAATCTTTTTGTATGTAACATGTACGAGTTTATTACATCACTTTTGAGATATTAAACCTGGACATCAAGTCACATTTAATCTGACATTGTGAACAATTTATGTATCAGAAGGGAAACAGTTTATCCCCCCCCCAATTCTATTGCAGCATCTTACAGACCCTGATTGTTCGGCCACCACGTAAGAGAAGAAATTGTTTTCAAACTGCATTAATATGTTAGCTGATTTCCTAGAAAGAGTTAACATATGATGTGCTGTAAAGTACAAAGCTGTAAGTGTTTAGAGTAATGGGAGAGCTTTTGAACGTGACAGTCTAAAAAACATCAACCAAAAAGGATATCTTAGAGTCGGGATATCCTTAAAAAGTTTCATATGTACTGAGAAGGCATCATCAAAATATCACAATTTTACATAAAATTCAATTTAGAATTATTGAAAGTGATTTTTAGAAATGAGCATACATTTCAGAATTATTATGGTGTGTGTGTATATTATATAATTTTGCTTTTTCATATAAGTAATTTAAAGCACATTTTCAATACTGAATGAGAATTATTCTCAATTTTGTTTTATTTAAAAAATATTTTGCTAACTTGAATTTAAAGTGACCTACTCGTAAAATACTAGGTAACTGATTGCTCAGGCTAATAGGTCAGTTTTTTTCAGATCCTAAGAGAGATCTCTTCTTCAAATCTGACCGTACTATTTGAAAGTTGATTGGATATGTCTATTTTTAGACTTCTTTTTATCGATAAATTCCTGGTTAAAGGAAATTCACTGAGATCTCTAGATGCATTACTAACTTTAATTTGGTATACTGTACTTTTGATCTGACATTATAATGAGCTTAAAATTCGATAATCATGCAACAGTATTAAAAAAATGGCTTAATATCTATACTTGAAATTCAAGGGAATTTCTTTTTATAGCTGAAACATGATGTGCTTCATCTTTTCGAACCCATAAATGTAAAAACTTGTAATCAAAAATGACAAAATAAATATAAGAAACTTAATTATGTAGAGATGCAAATATATTTAAAAATTTCATCCTATGACCAAAAAAAAAAAAAAGGTAACAAGTAGGCTTTTTTTTTTTTTTTTCTTTTTAAATTAATACTATGAATGTTAAATTGTCTGCTTATGTATAAAGATTCTAATCAGTATTTATACTAGTGTTTTAAAATAAATTTTGCTTATAATTATTTAAACAGATATTTTTTTTAATTAATTTTATACAACTTTATGTATTTGTTAATCTACATTTATCTCAAAAAGAAAAGGATTTACTTTCATTTGATTTAGTATGGTGCTTTCGACACATAGTTCTTGTATAGATCTAATTAGCACAGAATACAGTTGATATATATTTTAAAGTTTTAACTTGTTATCATTATTTTAGCACTTAAGTTTAAATATGTAGAGAATGGCAATATTTCAACATCACATTACAAATTGTAGAAAGATACCTGAATAAATTTTGACCAAAAGAAAACTTTTCCTTCATAATTTCAATTTTTTGATTCATTATCAGTATATTTTGTTACATGTGCAAAAGTTGTGTTATTAAATATAATTCAAAAAATATTTTAATTATTTACATTAATGGTCAAAATTTAAAAGATTTTTTTTTTTTTTTTTTTTTTTTTGTATGTGTGTGTTTATGGATAGTTTTTTTTTATATTGATTTGAATTTTGCAATTTACAATTTAAATGTTATGAAATAACCCAAAATAATCTTGTATAAATTATAAGCGCCTTCAGTCTGTGCCTTTATTTATAAATAAATTATTTTTTGAAAGTACACTTGGTTTAGATCTGATTTCTTAATATTTAAAATGTTAAAAATTATTCTCACAAATCATGAACAAATAGATATGAACCAAAATTTGTTATTCTACTGAATATCGTAAGTATTGTATATAATTTATTTCTAGATAGCAATAATTATTAGGAGGGCTGATTGTTTTTCACAAAATTTTTAGCATGATATGAAGAGAAATAAATTGAAATACAATATCCATGTTTTGGGAAAAGAAAAATGTCCAGCAGATTGATATTTATATATCAGTTATCAACTTTCATATCTTATTCTCAACACACTTTTATTTCTTTAAAATCATTTGATTCTTTTGGTACCTTTAAAAATTATACTTTCTTACAACTATTATTGCATGATCTAGTGTGGATTCACCTGAACAAATGTGAAGGCTATAATGGAAATTCCTTTAAAATGCCATATATAGCAAAATGAAATTGTTTTAATATATATAATGATATGTAGGTCAAAGAAGAAGCTAAGGAAAGGCATAATGAAATACAGCATTTAAAATACAAATGGGTTCATTTATAATTATATACCATAACTGTGCTTTTGTTGATTTTGACTAATCTAATTGTCTGAAAAAATCATGCAAATAATGTAAAATAAAAAATAAATAGAAAATAATTTATTTTTTTACAAAATATCACTAAACACACACAGAAAAATACATAGCTCAAATTCATAATTTTTTAAATATAGTCATATTAAAATATATATATATACCAAATTTAGGAGGAAAATACAATATTCAGTTTTTAGTGCATATAATTAATTATTCTTTGTTGAAAAAAATTAGGAAATAATATCTTAAATAGTCATAACCAATATATTGATTTAATAATGTAAATTACAATAAAAACCTGTTTCATATAAAATAATGCATCAATATTCATATCTAATGTTGTATTCCTGTTTTCAGTTACACTATATAATATAAATTATTCATAAAAATGCAAGGCAGTGCTATATATTTGCGCAATTCAAAAATTTAAATTAACATATTTTGTACTTTTCTTTATAACAGACCTTGTATATATTAACTTTTAAAAAGTTATTGCAAACCTTTTAAGCATACACATTCAAATGTTTGGAAAATACAAGATTAAAAGAATGCAAGTTTTAGGGTAGCATAAAATAGGCTGCATGAGAATTTACAGATTAAGCATTTATGAAAGGATTGTGATAAAAAAAATTATACTTATTAAGAATCTAATTTAGACCTGAAAGAATTGATTAAAATTTTTTGGTAAAGGAAAATCATAAAAAGTTTAGTAACTTCATTATACAATTTGAATAAAATTAAGTATTTCCTTTTTTTTTTTTTTTTTTTTTTTTTTTTTTTTTTTAGTAGAGATAAATAGATAAATTGGGAATAGTTTCTCTAAAGAAAAAATATTTGAGGTGCTTTTAAAGGAATGCATAATAAAATAATAAAACAAAGGAACTATAGTATTAATGAAGAAAAAAGATATATATACAAATATTTTTTTTTAAAGTACAACCATAATAGTATTTAAATTTTTTCTTAGGTTAGGTAAATGAATTTAGAATATTTGGAATGGAAAAAGCATGAAAGGGACTTTTTAATATCCAAACAGAGAAATGACACAACTGGATTATATATACAAAATCTTTAAAAAATATATTAAATGATTAGAAATTTGTAACTGTAATACTCTCATTGTACATATGTGCTAATCTGATAAAATTAAGTGAGTGTAATAGAATTTTTATATATAAAATATGCAGTGTCAAAATTTCTAAATGAAAATACAAAACATAAAATAAATTTATCTTCATTAGAGAACCCTGGTTCATGCTTATAAAAAATCATTTATTTTCATTTAACTTTGTTGAATTAATTAGGTTTCGATAATCTGTGTCATTTATTATTATTATAAATATATTCTTTCTTTGTATTACTGCCTGGGGTGCAACCTTTGAGTTTTTGCACTATTAATTTTTAATATAATATTTATCATATACATACATATTATATATGGACAAGACAATTTTTTATCTTGCATGGTAAGCATTGAAGGCAAAGGACAAAATTTTGAAAAAAAAAAGTGCCTTCTAGACTTGGCAACCATGACGAATTTAAAAAAAAATCTTTTAATTTTCTTATTTTATTACATTTTTTGCAGCAGCAACTAGTGCATAACAGATTTTTATTTTCCACCCTATTACCATTCCATATAAAATTTAAAAAAATTTTCTTGAAACAGAGTTTCATGCTAGTAATTCTATGAGTAATTCTATTTTTTTATCAATATACGAAGAATCGTATATTGATAAAAATTATATCTGGTTATATTATTTTCATCATATCTAATTTGTTTTTAAATTAAATGATAATTAGATAAGTTACATGTACAATCAAAAATCATCAATACATTTCATGGTTTCCTTGAATAGCAGAATTTGTTTTATAGTATTGAAATAGCTTTAAAAGTATTTTTTAATTTAAAAATGATTTTAATAATAGTAATAAAAGATAAATTTGGTTTGCTTATTAAATAAAGACAGCACTATAAATTATTAAACATTCAGAGGCTTTAATTAGTTTTTTGAAATATTTTTAAGTTATGGTCAAATGTTGAAATTAAAAAAAAAACTGGTTGTTTAATATAAAAAAAAACTGCTTGCATCTGTTATATTTTTATATTACATATATTAAAATTTTGAATGATACATTTCTTAATTTTATGAATTTTCTGGTAGTATTTATTGCAAATTAGCAATGAAAGAGAAATTAAAAACTAGTAGTCCTCTTATTTTCATCGAAACGGAATAAGCAAAGAGGAAAAAAGAAAAGCCCAGTTGTTTATAATTGTCTAAAAGAAATCATTTAAGCTTATTGGTTGAAGTGTAAAAGGTCATTTTTTTATCAGGAGTACAATAAAAACAATATGCAATGTTTTCAAATAGCAGTTACGGTAGAAAAATTGATTACCTAAAATTAGTTATATTTAGTAAGATTAAATATTTAAATAATTCAGAAAAATCTTAAATGAATTTTTTAAACATAAAAAAGGGTTTAATAACAGTTTTAGTGTTTTTTTATTGCACTGTAGTTGGTAATTGCACTTGTGCAAAACACATATTAAAAATTGTTTTTATTATTTGTACATCAAAAACGAATTATGGATCACTAAACAATTTCAACAGCAAATGCATTAAATGGAACTATAATATACTTTGTCCACATATGATACTATACGTGTTTCCCCTTTTAACTGTAAATCAGTTATAAAACCTCACTGATAAGATGCTAAGATTACTTTAAATCTTGGAGCTCCCTTTCCACCATGTAAATAGAAAATAAGCAAAAGCCCAAATCGCACAAAACTTGAAAATGATGTTACCTAAAAAAATATAGGTATAATATGATTGTGTTTACTTGCATGCAAACATAAAGAAATAAATAAAAATTGCCAGGCTACATTATGAGTATTAGATGACAAGATGAATAGAATCTTCTATGATTTCTTATCACTTGCAACAGCAATCATTTGTGGATATCTGAAAATTATAGTAGTCATATGCTTATGGTTGATGAAAAAAACCACACATTCAGCTGCTCTGTTTATATACATATGGGAGTTTTTTTTATAGAACTCCCAAATATATATAAACAGAGATAATAGAACAACATGCTGGAGATCTTAAGGATAGTCTGAAGAGTTTTAAATATGTAAAAGACGTTACAAGAAATTTGCAAAACATTTTAGCTGTCCAATAATTGAGAGAACAAGTGTTATGTAAAATGTCTGTTAGCAAAACAAAAATTTATAGTGTGAAATTTCTGAAATACATCCAGAATCAAAATCTTTGCCTAATTTTATTTCTTATTTTTAGAATATGATTAATCTCAGTTTTATTACAAAAAAGAAAAGGACAATTTTAGCATGCATGCTATTATGCACTTTTAAAGAATACATAATTTGTAATACCTGTTACAAAGAAAAATATAATGTTATTGAATTGTTCTCTGCTTTACTTTTTTTTAATATATCCACGCCTATAAATGAATTTAATTTTTATTAAACTTTTTATCATTAGTTTTATTTACTACTTTGACTGTTAATAAATGCTAATTATAATGTGTATTGTTTTGGGGTAAGTAATATAAAATAATTTTACAAGAGAAATTTTAATATGATTGTAGTTTAGACATACTGCAAAGTTTAAGTAACACTTATAAGTAATTTCTCGATGAAAACAATATTAGATGAATGATAATATATACATTCATTATCAGAGAATATCATCAATTTATTCCTTTTTATATGGTGATTTTGATTTTAAACCATATCATTTTATAGTCATTAATTAACACTTATAACTTTTAATATGATTGTAGTTTAGACATACTGCAAAGTTTAAGTAACACTTATAAGTAATTTCTCGATGAAAACAATATTAGATGAATGATAATATATACATTCATTATCAGAGAATATCATCAATTTATTCCTTTTTATATGGTGATTTTGATTTTAAACCATATCATTTTATAGTCATTAATTAACACTTATAATAACTTATTAAAAATACAAATTTATGCAAAAAAATATTTTAAAATATATTTTGCATGGGAAGAACACTTCATATATGAATTCTATGGAATTTACATTCCATTATAAGCTGGTCCTCCTCCACCTTCAGGTGTAACCCAATTGATATTCTGGCTAGGATCTTTAATGTCGCATGTCTTGCAATGAATGCAGTTCTGTGCATTAATCTGCAAGCGTTTTCCATCATCATTTTCTGTAGGCACATATTCATAGACACCTGAAAAAAGTGATTTTTTAATAAAATATTTATTAATCTCTAAGAGTATATATGTAATTTGTAAATATTTGGAACTGAAGGTTTTTAGTTCGCAAATAAAACTGATAAATTGCCAAAGTAAAACTGATAAGTTTGATATAATGCACATATATTTTTATGTAAGCAAAATAATTACTACCAAATATGACAGTATCAATTAAAATACACATAATTTAGATTTTGTTGTCCTATATATATATAGTGTATATCCAAAAAATTCATGGATTAAAGAATAAGTAAAACTTTTGACTTTATTTAGGCATTTATTAATGCATCTATCTATCTTCAAAACAATCCCCTACATTAATGTATTTTTGCCTTTTTTAATGCAGTGCTGTGAATTTATTTCTGACAGGTCCTTCAACTGTTTCATCACCTGCAGTTGATGTTTCTTACAATGAACCACCATTTTGATTTTCAGAGATAGGAAAAAAAAAGTGATAGTAAATTTCTGGTGTAAAACCTTAGAGGTACAAGTACAAAAATACAAAGTTTTATAAATAAAACTTTGTATTTTTGTATTTGCAAATAAAACTGCCAAATACAAGTTTTATTCTTCCACTCACAAATAATGGACAAGCACACATGATGGAAAAAATCCATAGACATCCAGATAAGGGAAACAGGAAGAATATTCAAGAACAGTAACTAACAGTAATTCGCTAGGAATTTAAGAACAATTAATATTGTATGTGATAGCAAAACTATGATGCAAAGTGCATTTGTTTCTGCCCAACTACTGCAGATGATACATAATTTCATGAATGTCAAAACAATGTGAATTGGTCAAAACAATCCATGAATATCATGATTTTGATTTGAAGCAGCTGCTTCTAACTTTTTTTTCCCCTTTGCCTTTTCCATTCTTTATTCTGTAACTTCATATTCTTAAATCCATGAATCAGCACCCTTAATCACTCTATTAAAAAACATTTGACTTGACTAATCAACACAGCTATCCTTTCTAATTTTATTCAGCTAGTGTAGTGGCTGTGGTTAATTTATCACTCGCAGCTGTGTGATGCTTTGGGTGTTTTTAGCAGAGGCTTACTCATGGTGATATCTGTGGGTCAACTCAGAAGTGAAGTGCGAGAGGACACTTGAGTCTATGTCACTGAAGTCTACCACTAGGGCAAACTGTGCTAGATTAAAAAATTCTGACTTTTCAAATTTGCAAGTATAGGATGGCTCTGTGGATGCCATACAACCCCCCCCCCAGCAAATGTATGCTAATGAGGAGGGAGTTGTTGCTGTATTTTGAGTCCTGCATTCGATGTGATTGATCATTGCGTTGATGGTCTGTGTTCAGCTCCATTCATTGGATGTGACTAGTTAGGCCTATTTAACACTTGTGGAGCAAGACACCATAGGTGGTGCAAGTTTATCAGTTTTCTCCCAGGCGGATGGGTGCAGGAGGTGCGTGTTCCTGTCACGTGAGTTTCAACCTGAAATTAAGTGCCTGCTGTCGAAACGATCAGTTCCAAGTAATACTAAGGTATATATATATGTATTTCTTGATATTATGTATTTCTTGATGGTCTCCAGTCTTTCAGGAGTCCAGAAACATCAACTTCTTTTACCCAAAAGACATCATTTAATTGAATTACTCATAGATTATCATAAAAAAAATCTCTTCATTCGGCTTTCGAACAACACTTTCTCTTATTAGACTATTATACCGGATAACTTCCGGACAAGATAGAGTTAGATGTGTTATAAATAAATACATGACTTGCTTTCGGACAAGAAACCAAAACATAAACCCTGATGGGAGACTTACCTAAAGATAGAGTTGTTATAACTAGACCATTCGAAGAAATAGGACTGGAATTTGCAAGTTCAGATATCACCAAGCCTAGCTTGAAAAGAATCATGGCTATTTCAAAATCATATATCGCGATATTTATTTGCTTTAGTACAAAGGCTATTCATTTAGAAGCAGTATCGGGTTTGTCTACTGTAGCATGTCTTAGGAAGGTTTATTGCCAGACGATCCAAACCATCCACTATTTGGACTGATACCGCTACAAACTTCAAGAGAACAAAGAATGTTCTTGATAAACTCCTTAGAATTTGTAGATCGGATCCTATTCAACGCTTTGGTTCTGAAAAAAGTATAACATGGAAATTTATTCCTCCTTCTTCACCGCATTTTGGCAGATTACAGGAGGAATAAAAATAAAATAATAAATCAATAAAGATAATTTTGACAAAGGTCGCAAAAACAACAATTTTAAACTTCGAAGAACTTTATATATTAATTACACAAATAGAAGCTTGCTTGAACTCTCGACGTCTGTCACCTATTTCGGCTGATTAAACAGATATTCAGGCTTTGACTCCATTTCCTAACAGGCGATCCATTTTTGTCGATACCAAAACCAAATAATTCTGTAGATTCTTTGTCCTTGCCTTCTAGATCCTTTGTCTCCTTAATTCAAAAACTTAGATCTAATTTCTGGAACGGCTGTAGTGTGGAATATCTTAATCATTTGCAGACCCGTTCCAATGGTATCAAGTGAAATCCAATCTCAAGGCAAGGACAAATAGTTTTGCTGAAGGAGAAAAACAAGATGCCCATTAAGTGGACACTAGCTTGCATTGAGGAGACCTTTTCTGTTCTACGACGGTAAGTTGAAAAATAAGTTTCCCCTGTCGACTGTGGTCTGAGTTGTGTATGAAAGTCAAAAAATAGAATGAGACATTAAAGATATGACATACCTTTATTTTTCCACATAGGTACCAAGTACATTGAGACATTTGTCATATCGCTTGATAAGCTTCAAAAAGCCCTCCAGGAAAAAATCAGGGCTTTGCATATGAAAGAAGCGTTGAACGGCTTGTTTCACTTCAGTATTGCTTCCAAAGCGCCTTCCCCCGAGATTTTTCTTCAAAGCCGGAAACAGATGGAAGTCGCTTGGTGCGAGATCAGGACTGTATGGCGGATGGTGTAGGCGCTCCCAACCAAGAGTTGCAATATGGTTTTACGTTGCCGTCGCCGAATGTGGTCTGGCATTGTCATCCAATAGCAGAAGGCCAGGCCGCTTTTTCCAAATCGCCTCTTTCAATTTCGACAGGGTGTCACAGTAGCGCGTAGCATTGATGGTTCCAACCTCCAAAAAGTCCAGCAACAAAACTCCTTGGGCGTCCCAGAAAACTGTGAGGAGCACTTTACCTGCAGAGGGAGTTGTCTTGAACTTCTTTTGGAAAGGTGATGACGGATGTTTCCACTCCATAGATGCGGCCTTCGATTCTGACGTGAAATGGTGGACCCACGTTTCATCCCCCGTCACAATCCGAAACAGAAAGTCATTGCCATCTTCATGGTAACGCACGAGATGTTCCAGGCTGACCCCCATGTGTTGTGTTCCTTGTGTGTCGAGGTCAATTGTCGGGGCACCCATCGTGCTAACACTTTTCTGTATCGAAGAATGTCGTGGATGATGTTTTGAGCTCGCTCATGTGAGATTCCAAGTTCTTCCGCTACTTCATCGATGGTGATATGCCGGTTCGCTCTAATCATGTCATCCACCTTCCTGACATTTGCATCTGTAGTGGCCGTGCGCGTCCGTCCAGCTCTCGGTATGTCCTCCACTTGCTGACGTCCATCACTTGAATGTGTGACACCATCTCCGCACCATTTGCTTCGATATCACACCTGGCCCATAGACTTCCACGAGGCAGTTATGAATTTCTGTTCCTGATACTCCACGTGCCCATTCATAGCGGATAACCGCTCTCACTTCCTCCTTTGACCACGAATTCAAAACGCACTTTCTCTCCATACCTACCAGGGCTCAAATGAGAGGCTGGTCTCCGCTTTGCGCAGGCACTGCAACAGCGCCATCTGCTTGATTTCCAGCAACCTCTACCCAATGGTGTATCGGTGACTTGCGTGTTTTCCTGCTGTGTCGCCTTTCACCCATAGCCGTTCAACGCTTCTTCCATATGCAAGCGTGAATTTTTCTTGGAGGACTTTTTGAAGCTTATCAAGCGATATGACAAATGTCTCAACGTACTCATACGTGAATAATAAAATAAAGGTATGTCATATCTTTAATGTCTCATTCTATTTTTTGACTTTCATACACAACTCTGACCACAGTCGACAGGGGAAACTTATTTTTCAACTTACCTACGTAGCTGGACTAGTACGAGTTGTAGACATCAGAACATCAGATGGAATCTTTCGTCGAGCAGCCTCCAATATCAACCCACTCCTGGGGGTGGCCATGATGTTCCGATTTGAATAGAAACTTTTTCTGTCTCGGAATGGCAACAGTCAGAATCTGACTTTTGATTTGTTTTGATGCAGCTTGAACGCAGCTGATGAGATGTAGATTAGATTAATTTGTTTGGTATTTTAATAAATTCCCTTTAAAACTAAATTGAATGTTGATTTAGGCAGAAATACCTCTAAAATGCACATATAGAAATTTAGATGTGGCATTTAGATTCATCGTAGAACTTAGATGGACAGCGCCATTCATCTATTAGATTAGAGTACATTAACAGGTACAAATATTATATTTAAAATATAAAATTATATTTTTAACATTTTTATTTCTCCTTTTAATCTAAAGTCATTCTTACTCTCAATGTTGTTTTTCAAAGCGCTATTTTATTCTGTCACTTAGTTCTTTCACTTTGCAATAATTTTATGTTGTTGCATCAGATTGTACTCGAATATTCTCATATATTTTAGCACCTATTACTTCCTGTCACAAGACTGCAGTATTTGGCTTTCAGCAGTGGCTGCGTTTTTCCGCTTGCGACCGTCAGTATCAAACTCAGTAACAGATGGAGAAGTTTGTACAATCTTATATGTCTATGGAAAAAAAGTATTGATTTCGATGAAATACTGCAATAAATCGACGAATCCATACCGATATTTCACAAAATGAAAAGATTTTTATTAAAAAAGAAAGCAGATAGTAACGATAGTTGAAGTTTGAGTGACA